GCACATACGGGTAACCGGCCCCCAAAGGGCCCAAAGCAAGTGGGGTGAGTTGGGAGATGATATGGAGATTTTGTTTAATAATTTAGATGCGTACATTTACGATTAACATTTTATCACTGATGGTTTCCTGTATTCTGCTCATAAGCCCGCTGTGATGCAATTTACTAGAGTGAGGAATTTAATGGCACATTACCAGTGTCAATCACCTTAATGACTCTTGTGCCATCCCTAAATATAGATGCAATGCGCGGTCCCTAACAGTATCCAATCACTCCAGTCAAATATCCAGATCATTAAGAGTGAATACGAGCAGGTAATCAGGAATGCTCGTGAAAAAAAACACGATTGCGGTTTTCTGCACGGAACGCAGAAGAATTAAGAAACCAAGGCTATATACATACATGATTTATACGTTGACGTCAGACGCTGCTCGTTCTTGGAGTATGTTGACACTGACATGACACAGAACATTGTCGAAAAGTTTCAGCGTGATCATTCATAAACACTAGGATATTTACGCCGTGTTTAATTTAAAAGATTTGAATTAGACCCTGTTTGAATTAGTATATTCTCGATGCATTCCAGGGGTTACTACAATAGATGAGCGCTGTTCAACCTACTGACACATTTCCCCTCTAAATATCTAATGAGGAAACTGGAACATTTGCTAGGAAGGAGAAGATTAAACGCTGGTGTTTGATATACATATACAATTTCAGTGGAAATGTTTGGGTCTTCGTACATCATCCAGTGCCTTTATTTTTGTACAAAACCAATTCCACCCTATTAGTATCATTTTTTATGAATACGTTTTATGAGATTCTGATTCAGTACCGGGTAGAAAGATTCAGTGAAAACGGCCAAAGCTGTTCCATAAATCTTTTAAAGAAGTGTCTAGGAACAAAACATGACACAAGAACTATCCTTGGGAGCCTAAGGCGAACGCAGCCGTGCGTACACATGTTCTTGACCGAAAGATTGGCATTTGGCAGGATGTGATCTCTGTTGCCGCATGATGAACTGTTGATCGCTGGCAAATAGCGCAGCAACGGGTTACCGAATTCCAAAGTCAAGTGCGATGGTCTTGAAGACTGACTGATGCCCAGGCATCTGACGTCAACTCAAAAGTTCGCTTATAGATTTATACAGGTCGCACTGACAGTATAGTGTTATGGTCCCTTAGGGACAGCGGTAAAGGTAGAATCACTCGCTAATACTTCGAAAGAAAGTTTGGACGTTTGAAAAGGTGGCCAGGATGTTTGAAAAGGTAGCCAGGAGAACAGGTCAAGCTAAGGTGGTAGGCGCGGTACACCTGATACAAACACCTGTTGCGACCTTTCACAGGCGACATCTGTGCAAATGTACATGTACATTTTCAGGCAAAGTCTGTTACCAACCACGGGGTGAATTTTAGCCACCCACATTACAAAATGTGTACCACTGTGTCTATCCTTCATGAGACAAAGGTTGGTAAACCTTGAGCAAAGTGTTTACAAATTCGTGTCTCTGTCACCTGATACCAGTTTGCCATGTACAATAGCAGCCCAGCTGTTTCTGGAAAGTGGAGGCATCGACACAATACAATATAAAAAATTTAAGTCATAATATTTGGTACAACGTCATATGGGACAGACGCATAGAGCTAACTGAATAGCTAACCAGTAAGCGCGCGTAGCCGAGCAAAAATTTTAACGGCACGTGGTCTATTTCCAGCTGCAGTTGTAGTTTTTTTTTGGGGGGGGGGAAGAGGGAAAGGACTTGGAGTATGAGTCACTGAAGTCTCATGAAGATTCTGCCATGAACAAAAACATGCACAGTATATCGCCCCAGGAGGGAAACTCCCTTGCACTCGGCAAATGTCATTAAAAGTTCAGTTGCCCAAGGCCCATTGGAATAATTTTTGAACAGCTTCCTTAAGTTTCAGTCGTTTGTGACAAACACCTACTCAATCACGAGGCTACATCCACTTGGAAGAAATTCCAGTCTGACTTTAACGACTGAAATTCTGCAGTCGACATGGAGTTCACTTGAATCTGCCACAATTTATTTTGAAATGCCGGTAAGGTGCTTGTGCAAGTCTCCTCGGAATTCTGTAAATGGCTGGGGGCTTACGTGTATGTAAAAGTCCAGTGCCTTTAGTCAACCCTTTGAAATTTCTTTTTTTTTTTCAATCTGATTGCAAGCATACATTTACCTCTGTTATGACAAGGTATCGACACCCTTGACTTTGTTATCTTAATTTCCTGCTGTTTTCAGAAAACGCGGTAACTTGCAACTCGCGAGGGAGAAAGAAACTGTACCTCGGCGGCGTCTGGGCACGGGGCGTTCAAGGCTAAAAACGGGCCTTGTATCAAGCACCTGGCCTCCGCAGAAGTCCCAGAGAGAAGTGCTTTAAAGGCATGGTATGTAAGATTGATGAATAAAATATAATAAATTAACTTTTTTCACGATATTTGAAGAATATTACATGCAAATTTAAAAACAAATATATAATACGAGGACGGTAAATGACAGAATTGAGCCGCTTACCAGTCGCTGCGAGTGTTGATTTATCTGCTTAGTATTGCTTTTTTTTGCTATTTTGTTTGCTTATTTCCTTGTTTTACGTATTCTGTTTCTTACATACACTTTCTTTGTTTTCTTTTTGGTCTGTATTGTTAGATTTCCGTTTTCAGGACTTAAGCATTGATGAACAAAAAAATACATCGACGGTTGTGAAAACGATGGAAAATGATGGTAAAATGTCTGCGCACACCATACAGTAGACCATTCAGGATATGATACCAGTCTATGTTATGATCTTCAGCCTTGAGTAGAACTCAAGGCTCAAGGCGGTATGTTACCTTGATTTCATGACAGTAATAATAAATACATGCTGCTGACCGCAGTTGGTATGGTTCTTTCGACGTTTAGGTCCATGCGATCTGGCGATTGATGAACCATTTTACAAAGCTGTTGATCAACAGCTGCAGTAAATCAATTTAGAATTCTATTTTATGACACCATCTCAAAATCTGTTGTCAATCTTTAAAATTTTTATTTCCTCAAAGGTTTACAGTTACAGAGCCTGACGTGTTAATCCCAATGCAGTCTTTGTTTTAAAGTTAATTTCCTTAAATTTTCACATGTCAATGTAGGTTTTATTTCCGACGCAGTGTCTGAGTATAGCAAATACTGCCCCGGGAATTATGAGGGTATGCAGATCACCTGAGACATTCCCTGGCATCAATATACCCAAAACAGTGCTCAAACTTTTGAGCACTTTTTGGGCCATTATTCTGTTTTTGCTGAGAAACATAATGCTCGGCAAAATTAAATGCACACTTTTAGTAGTTCAAAGGAATCAGCCCCAATCCCACACAATTCTTTTTTTTATGGATGTTTGTATCTCATGTACATAATGACAAAGCAATTTCCTTTAATTAGAAACAGCTAGAGTAAGAAAACTGTCCTCCACAGGACCAAGCAGACATCTTGTTTAGCTTTCATGGCGTGTGGTACAACACGAGCTTCCAAAAGGGGTCAGCGACGTGACCCCTGCACGTGCGGGCACAGCAACCTCGTAAGAAAAAGCCCGTGATTGTCTCCTCATAAATTCACGGTTATTTTCAATTCATACCGCATTGGGTATTGTGCTGGAGGAAACAAAAGTTACCCACAAAAGAAGAAATACATCAGTGGTCCTTGTACATAACGAGGGATGACGTGGTAGGGAGTTTACGCATTAACGTCATTTGTATAGTGGCTTGTTCATAATTTCATGGGTGTAACCATTATTCATACATTTTATTCGGAAGCGGATTCTCTCCGGACAGGTTTCAAATGTCTAGGTCTCAAATTGCTAATTGTAGCAACATAATACTCCACCCATAAACAGTGAATCAAATGAATTATTTCAATCTATTAGAAAAACTCCTAATTCAATGAAATGGAATAAGAAAACGACCATCTTAGAAAACTTGCATATCCCCCCCCCATTGGCGGAAGGCCGGTCCCCGGATGCCCCTCCTCCATTCATTTGAAAATGTACACGACCTATGAACAAGTCATGTCATGCTTGTAGTCAGTGCCCCCTGCAAAGATGTATGCATCCCAGGGTGCCCTCCTCATTTCACACTCATTACTCCGACTGCGTCGTGCATGGTGCCTAAAGACTGTCCTCAACTATTTTGCGATTCGGGTTCAAATAAATGCAGATTTCACGAGACAAGCAGTTACTAGCTTGATTCATATACCCAATAAACCGACACAATATCAACGATACAATCTGGAACTCGTGCTTAAGTGCTTCCGCACGGGGAGGAAATAAATATAAGGCCCTTCTCATGATAAAAAGTCTAATCACTGGCCAGTCTTCTGGGACATTATAAATTGGACCTTTTCGTATCAAAAGAGTTGAAACACTGGAACATAATTATTGCTGTTTTCTGTTCAGCCGATCTGCACGATCTTCATACGCGACTTTTCTATACTCTCTGTTGATTATTTCACCTTCACGTGATTGCATTTCCAACGTAATTTATGGTTGTGGAAATTTGTTTCGAAAATGGGAAGACCACGCGATCGCGATCGTGCTCATCGACCGATCGCGTTCATTTCCTGTGCTTAATTGAGCCCAGGATATCGAGACAAGGCCCTATCGCCGCTCTCCGTGCGGAACATCAGAAAGGCCTACTCTCTTTATAAATTAAGTCGCTGACAGAACCCCACATTGGAAATTTCGAATTTTTGTTCACCACCGGTTTTCCCTCGGGCGTAACGCATTGTAAAATACTAGAATACAGTTCGTAAAGTTGTATAAATGTTATTTTTGTTCAACAAGAGATCCCTATTCCAGAAGGTACGTTTTGGAGGGATCTTCCACATATTCTTTTTGATATGAATGTAAAGCGTTCTACCACTGACGTTTTATTACTAACCACATTCTCCTTGTCATGGCAAAAGACGTGGGGGAAATCCAATCCTCTTACAACAGAAAGGAGGTCAAAGTTAAATCTTACCTTTGCATCTGCCATTCACGCAGGTGAGCTGAAAAGCAGCATCGCATGCCTCGCGTGGCAAGGAGCACCTCTCTCCTGTCTGTCTCATGCACAATGTGCAGCACCGGCACGGGTCCGGCAGCAGCCTGTCTCCAGTACACTTCTCCGGGAGACTTGGGCAGTACCAGTTGCAGCTGCGAAACTCCCACGGGCAGGACGCATCCGGCGTCCCGGTCCCTTCCCGAGAGGCCAAGGGGCCGGGGCCGGGACCTATTGGTGTCGAGGCCCGCACGGGCTGGTTGTGTTGGTGCAGAATCAGTAATGCAACGGTACATCCAAGTCCAATTAGGGCGTTGACGGGCCTGCCAGATTCACTGTCCCTCCAACTGTCGAGAAACATCTTGTTTCAACTGTCTTCACTCCGATAGAAACTCCAGGGAAATGAAAATGATAAAATGAAGCCCAGCAATCCGTAAGTGCAAATGCTTTTTTTTTCGTTTTATTTTACTTACAGGCAAAGAAAACATTGACAGTGGAATGACAGTAAAATACTACTGAATATCGACTGGCGCGTGTGAAGTCGGCGAAATTAACTGTTGAATGGATGAATGAATGTAACATGTGTTGGGATGATATAACGTGCGTCACCTCTGCTTGGCGTACTTCAGCAAGTCCAGACAGCCGGCCGACTTATGTGAGGTCTTCCGCGGCAGGTCCTGCAGACACGTACGCATGCCGTGCGCCTGCCATCTGGAACTAAACATAGATCGACCATCATCACTGAACCTCTCTGTCCCGTTGTGCCCACTCGTGCTCTGCATGGTATGACGGCGATGTCTTTTATCATATTTCTCATTAGGCTTAGGAATGTGATCCGCAACGGAGCCGCGGGCAACACGTGACCCCAAGAACTTGACCAATGGAAGACCAGCATTGTTGGGCTTACTTTTCGTGCATCAACGCGTCGTTGTGAGGGTGGCTACGAATAGGTCTACTGCACACCACGCAGGTACAGGTAGGCACATAATTTTAATTGGAGGGATTTTGACGGCCAAAAGTTATCTAATGGATGAAATCAACAAAGCTGACATTTGTAGCAACATGCATAGCACAACTTCTATGCTTTTAAGATAGTGTAATCGAAAATTTCGACGTAGGCCTAATGGCAATACGGAAAAAACATAGCTGCCACAATATCTTATACCTCTTGGTTGTTTTTCCTTCAAACGCAGCAAGCGATTGAAACAATGTTTTTTGGAAAAATCCTTCCCCGAATTTCCGTAAAGTTTTAGCAATAAAAAATGGAATCAATTTGTAAAGTCACGCACCACTTGTGGCAAATTGAAACCTTCTTGAGCCTAGAGGTAGAAGGGTATTGACACGAACACTCTTCCGAGTTAAAAATACTTGACAGTGTATGGTAAGTCTACGCCTTCAATTTGTGGGGGCGGGAAAACGTGCCGTTTCAAGGACGCAGAGGTAAACAAGACTCCTAGCGTGCATTTGTGGCTTTTATTTGAGACATTTACAAGTGCTTTACGTTTTGGCTCGCTTTGCTTTCAGAACTAGCCGTGTCAGTGTTACGCACAATTTCTTGAGCAAAACTGGTACAGGATTATACTGTAGGACATGACGAGCACTGTATTGATGAAAGCGCTTTAGATAAAAGGTCTGTCGGCACCAGTGTTTGTTCCCGCCAAAATGCACAGTTGGAAGTGCAGTTTCCGTGCTGTACACAATATTATAGATGAAAATTCAAATACGTTAAAAACGCAATGAAAATGAACTTTTTCTGTCAGTGTGTGACTTTCAATACTAATTTCGGCTAACACAAAAAATGATACTGATAACTGTAACCAGCTAGCTTCTCGAAATAATTGCATAGACTGGGCCTTTGTAATTATTTGAATACCGGTAGTGAATATAAACTTTCAGCTTGGTTTTCTAACTTCTCTTCAGAAATAATACTCTTATTGGGGGGTTTGTAATGACGCACTGATACTGCAGCATTCATGACGTTGAAATCGCAGCTTAAGCTTTCCTGTGAAATAATAATTATAAAAAGTTGAGCAAGGTTTTTCGCGTCAACTCCACGGGGTTCTCCAATCGACCAGGTTATTGTGCTCCGACTCTCCCAGCAGGCTAACCGGCAAACAAACCCGCTGATTTAATTATTACCTGGTGTTCGACAGGGCCCTTCACTAAATTATTTCTTTCCCAATGAATGTTTCTCATAAATACTTGTTTTCGATGACTTCATTTTCCAGGCCCCGATTTATTCATATTGGAACAGTTCATTTTTCTGTCCTTTTTTTTCTTCAAGCAAAGATGAATTTGAAAAGGACATGTACTCATCTGTCACGTTTGTTCAAGAAGTTGATGGCAGCGGTGATATGTCTGGTCATGTGTTATTGGTATGCTCCTGCAAAAAAATGGCTAAAAATCTGTGCGGTGCACGTTTCTTAGAATACTAATCCAGATTACAAGCTCGTCCTCTCTTTTTGCAGAAAAGGCTAATATGAAGGGTTTTTTTATGTCATAGGTGAACCCTTCATGAACATGCGGCAAGCAACCTAACGGTACAAGCAATTTAACCGTCGATTTCTGTGTGCATAGAAGGAAGGTTCCTACCTTTCGCATCCAGTCCTGGACGTATAATTCTGAAAATCAATTTTTTTAAAAAACCTTTATCGATAACATTAAAAAATTAAACAGTTTGGAGAAAAATCTTTTCAATTTTTCATTCATTGGTTTCTTTTTCTGTCCGACGTACTTTAACTTAATATTGTGATACTGTGATATACTATACTGTCATGAAAAGATACATCCCGATTTGTATTTTCCTGCAAATATCAAAATCTGACTTGTAATGCCTAGAAGTTGCCTTGGAAATTAAATGCCTTCATGTCACCATGACGTTAGAGGCCTCGCTAACCTCAAGTCCAATAGGCCATGGGCCGCATCGACGTACCATTGGACCACGGTGACTTTTATATGATGGCAATGCGGCAGAGTCGTCGTAAATATCTGATAAGAAGCTCATTATAAACGGCACTAGTCCCTGACTGTCTAAAACAAACGCACAAGTGCATGGTCATGAACTATGAACCATATCACGTAGACAAGTTGCCAGGGTGTTTTGCAATCCCAACGCAGTACTTCCGTTTACGCGGGAAACGGTCTTTGAGGTTTACTGACCTTCAAATACACATAACGTGCATCTTAAAATTTCTGACGGATTTTTCTATAATAAAAAAGTCTTCAAATTCTAGCTAATAAACATTCCAACACTTTCTATAAAACGTCCCTTGCCATGGTTTCCACCATGGGCGTCTTGGGGAGGGGCGCTTGAGCCCTCTCCCCCGGGGAAAACATTGAAAAATAAAAACAAAACCGACCTGAAAGGGGGATGAAATTAGCTAATTCGCTTGAATACCTCTGAAATGACCCCATTCCTCCGTTGGTAGTTCGTCAGTTTGCTTCGGATGAGTGCTTCGCTCCCCTCAAGAAAAGTCTAACTACGCCCATGGTTTCCATTGAATTTAAAGCGCATAAATTCCTTTTTTTCAAATGGAGAATGATCACCTACAATCATGTAGTAGCCATGGGGTCTCGGGAGGCAAGGGGCGCTTAAAAAATTAACAACAGGACGAAAAGGAAAGGAAAATATGAAAGAAACATTTGCGTTTGTGGGGCGGGGAATAAAACTTTTACAGGTTTTGTGCTTTTTAGGGGTCTTTCAATCTTCGGAATTGGACGTAGGCCACTAGAAATGCTCCCCCGAAAGTGGCCATATATCTTAGTATCCTAAGTGTGTGTTTTTTAGTGCATGTTGCATACAACAGGTTGAAACCCTGGCCATGTTCATAGTGAGCTTCCAGAGCTACGCAAAAAAAGAAGAATTAAAACAAGACCAAGAGACGACCATTTTTGTAAAAGTTGTCGATTCTATGCATGAAGACTTTTATTCTTATCCCCCTTATAAAATAAATTAAGCTGGTAAATGACAAAATTCGGTATTAAATTTATCATCTCCCTACGCTAAATTCTACCAACATGTCATTAAAATTGGGCATACAATTCTCCTCCCGTGAACTTCCGCCAGTTACGCCACTACTTTTAACCTTCAAAACCAATTCACCTAATGGGTTTCATACGTTTTTGCCTGCTTTTGATTTAAATTCTAAACACCGTAACAACAACGGCTACATCAGCGAAGTTACAAATCTGTTGAGGTATCCTCAAGTGAAAAACTGTTTCATCGAATTTCTCCCTCGTCGACCTCCCCCTCTGGATTTTTCTAGAGGGAGCCAAACACTGACTCATCGTACAAAAATTGAGAAGTCCAAGAACGTCATTTGACGCTTCAGACGCGGGTTATTGGGATGAACGAATTGAAAGAATTTTTTCAGAACATGAACATTTAGTTTGTTTTTGAGCCTGTTTAAGACTTCTACCACAATTAACCGAAATAATCTAACTCGGGTTGATTGAAAATATGTTTTGATGCAGGCCTTACTTGGTTTACTCTTGCATGAAAAAGTGCAAGAATTGTTCGTTTATTTCCACAGTTTTACTAACATACAACTTCAATTTTCAAACGCCATATAAATACGAAGGAAAAGCCGTGGAGTACCCACTAAAAAGCAAAGCTTATGATTGTGGGCCCTTAAAGTAATTTAGAGTTACTATTACTTAAGACCTACTTAAGACTATTACTTACAAAAGACAAACACTTACTCTGTAAGTTAACAATTACCAAAGTTTGAAATAAAAAACCAAGAATAGGAAAAATGAAAGAGAATAAGAACTCTGGAAGAGTATCGATAAAGCTAATCAATTCCACAGTCAATAAATATTAATAGTAATCATTCAATATGATCTTTTTGAAGTTCCGTTTAAAGATTCGCAGATTTTTCGAGGCTGTCAGATTCTCATTCAAAAGGTTCCATAAATTTGGTCCTTCACATCTGATGTACGCATTAATGGCAGATGAAAATTTGCACTTTGACGAGTATAATGAAAGTAAATATCTATGAGTTTCAACATTTTCTGTTTGGAAAATAGAGGACCAGTATGAGCATTACAATTAGTAAAGTTGATAATTCGAACGGATCGTTTTTAAAAGGAAAGGTCTGTTAAGATTACTTAGGGAGCTTGCTCCCCATGGGAGAATACCATTACTAAGATACGATAACATTTAAGTATTGTAAAGGGAAGTTAAAACTACAGAAGGAATGAAATGTTTGATTCTATGATATTTCTTGCGATAGTTTTACTAAGGGAGAGTCAAAATGTTTGACCCAGGTTAATTTTAGAGTCAATAATTATATAATTCCAGAAATTAATACAATCGACTTTTTCCATGGATACATTATTTATTTTAATGTCTATGGGAAGTTTATAAGCAGTTGTACTAAATAACATAAATTTGTTTTTTTTTTATATTAACAGACAATTTGTTCACCGCAAACCGATTACAAATGGATTTCAACCCATGATTAGCTGTATTAACGAGACTTGAAAGATTGCTATTCGAAATAAATAAATTGGAGTCATCAGCAAATAAGATAAATGAAAATACATCGGAAGATGTAACAAAATCATTAATATAGATCAGAAAAAGCAACGGACCCAATATTGACCCCTGTGGAACCCCACATTTTAGAGTCATCCGAGTTGAATTAAAGACTCTTACAGAAACATATTGCTGTCTATTTGAAAGATAACCCCTGAGCCACTCCAGGGCTACCCCACGCACACCGAAGTTATAGCAAGATATTATGGTCAGTGGCATCAAATGCTTTTGAAAGATCAAAGAATATCCCTAGAGTTTGCTCAGAGTTATCTATTGCATTTGTTATTTTATCAACAAAGTTAAAATAGCATGTGTAGTAGAGTGACGACTTCGGAAACCGTACTGACAATCAGTTAGGATATTATGTTTATTAAAAAAAATGGAAAATACGAGTATACACTTGTTTCAAAAATCTTAGACAAGCAAGTCAAAAGTAGATATGGGTCTGTAGTTATTAACGAAATTAAAATCCCCATTTTAGAAAATGGGAATTACCTTCGCAATTTTTAGTGCATCAGGAACTATTCCAGTTTTAAATGAGACATTAATTACATGAGCAATGGGCCTACTAATAGAAGTGAGAGTTTTTTTTAATAATAGAGGAATTAATTAAATCACGGCCAGTGCTATACTTTTAGTTTTTAGATTCTTGGTGATATCAATCACCTCTTTCCCATCTTTTGGCTTCAAAAATCTTGGGTTAGGATTATTCAAAAGTTGGTAAATGACTCGGGCAAACAAGGAATGCGTTTCGCAAGATTAGGACCTAGGTTGACAAAGTAGTCATTGAAACAATTGGCGATATCTTCAGGATCACCAATTGGTTTGCCAAGGATAGTGTTGTTGATAGACTCGGAGGGCAATTTATTATTTAAAATCGAGTTGATGGTTTTTCAGGTATTATGAATACTGGTTTTTTTCCTGTTTGAACTGATTAGCACAAAATGTTTTGAGAATTCCGTAAAAGACTGGTTAAGATGTTTTTGTAATCAGTACATTTCAGTTTTCGTTCCATTGTCGGATTAGCAATTTAATGATGATCGAGTTTATTCTTCTTTTTAATGGATTTAAGAAGAAGTTTAGTTATCCTTGGAACAGTAGAATTACACTTAGTCCTAGATGTAGGTTTATCTAATTTCAGAGGAATACTATTGACTAACTTCTCGTTGAATTTGTCAATAAAATATTGAACGCTTGGTCGGGATCGTCACATGTTTTTATCGGAGACCAATCAGTGGTATGGAGATTTCCTTTGAAGTTTTGTATATTAGAAGTAAAATGACGAGTGGCAAAATGGTTATTTATGTTAGAAGAGTGGAAGGTTTTTTGAGTGGCATTCAGTTATTCTAGTAGGCTTATTAATGAGAGGTAAAAAAGAATAAGAAGAAATAATATCGACAAAAGCCTGTGAGTTGGGAGCCATATAGGCCTAATCAAGTAAATTAATGTTGAAGTCACCAGAGACAAGACAAGTTTTGGTTGAGGAAATCTAGTCTTTGGAACGTTGGAGCCAAGTCAATGTGGTTGATTTGCGGAGGTTTATACTTAACACCTGTGATGATGTTCTTAATCTTGGGAAATGAAATTTATAGAAGAGTTTCCAATGTATCAGAAAAAGTTAAATCTTGTCTTATTTCAAAATCAAACTCGTCGGAGACATAGAGGGATACCCCCCTCCGCCTGTTTTACTAGTTGTTAACTACAAGTTTGTATCCTAGTTAAAAAAATTATTATGGGGTTCTGCTTTCAACCAGGTTTCCGATAATGCAATAATTGAAAACTTGTGATTCATTGAGAACCAAAGAATCTTCAGCTGATCAACATTTTTATGAAGACTTCTAATATTGATATGCAGGAGAGAAAAACCACAGGCCTCTGTGTATTGTTCAGTTGAGTAATAATTTAAATTGCTGTCAAAATGCAATGGGTTGTTCGAACTAGCATCATACTCTAGACTATAGCTAGTGGATGATGATATAATCTTACCCTGAAAACATGAACAACAACCTGAAAATCATGGTTATCGTGCCTTGTGTCCCAAGTTCAATAAAAGCTATATTGAAATTATTAAACACGCCCGTAGACGACGTATTTTTGCAGGAAATTTAGCGCAACTCCACCCTTACTGTCGCGATTCGTGAACGATCTACGTTCGTCCAGTATTACGCATTTGCGCATGCGCGAAATGGCCTCCAAGCTCGGCCCCCATTCTAAAAAATATGGAAGGGCTGCGTAGCACCTTGATCAGAATAACGACGAGAATATGAGATTAAATCAGTGCTCTGAAATATGTGATTGCCGAGCTTTCGGTAACCGAGTACCTTCTTCAGGGCAAGCAGATTCATTTCTGAATGAACGCGGAAAAATCCACGTTCGGGTTCCAAGTTCGAAAACGACGCGCTGCTCCAGTTCCTTACGCTGTACATCAGATGACGCTTTCCGCAGGATGCAGACGCTTACGTCACCGAGGGTATGTGTCAGCGCGCAAAAGTGCTGCGCCACAGTGAGACCAGGTGTTTGTTGGCGCACACTGCGCAAGTGTTCCGCGAAGCGGTCACCAAGGCGACGCTTGGTCTCTCCGATGTACAGTTTACCACAGCGACGACACGTAATGCAATAAACCTCATCACTAGTACAAGTAATGCATGTATGATCCCCATGTATACTGTAGCTACCGCGGGGGCCGACGACCGACAGGCTGTTAACTATGTAGGGACAGGTGTTACATTTGGGGTGCTGACAACTTGACGGGGAATTGCTGCCTGCTTTTGACGGCGGGACGGAATCCAACCGGCAACGTACAACCATGTCCCCGACAGAACGATCGCGCCTAAACGAGCAAATCGGGGTTCGGCGAAATGGAAGCTGTGGCCGCATCATTTCCGAGTGTACGAAAATGTTTAAGAAGAATATTACGTACTGGGATGTTTCGAGGCTGGTATGTGAGACGATTGGTACTGCAGGTAGCCGTGGGAATCTGTGGGCTTGTCATGCACGGTTGTGCCAAGTTTCCGCGCACAGATCTGGACTCGCACGTCGAGGAAGGTAACAGAGTGTTGTGACACATCAGATGTGCAGCGCAGTGCTAGGTGAAAAGCATCCGCAAACGCTAAGAAATTCTCAACGTCATCACACGTACCGGTGATAGCACCAACTATATCATCGATGTATCGCCGGCTGCACGCCCTGATACTTGGTCAGCATCCGTCTGCTCATCGATGTGGCCAACAAACAGACAGGCATAACTTGGTCCCACCTGTGTGCCCATAGCCACACTACCGGTCTGAATGTAGTGCTCACCGTTGAAGCCAGACGGAGCAGAGTGCTGGTAGGAGGATCCTGAGTCTGGCGGAGATCTAGGTAATGGTTTGTAGCTCTATGGTTTGAGCGCAGCAAAACCACCCGCGTGGGCAATGGATGTGTAAAGCGATTTCACATCCATGGTGAAAAGAAAGTTTGATGAACCTGGGAACTCGAATTCATCGAACAGACGTAGAGCGTGATTAGTACCCTTGACATAGCTTGGGAGCGTTTTGACAATGGGTGTTAGAATGGTGTCAAGGAAGTTGGATATCAATTCAGTGGGACAACTGCAAGCAGACACGATGGGGCGGCCTGGATTTCCGGATTTGTGAATTTTGGGTAGCAAGTAGAAGACTGCCGAGCGTGGGTTGGGAACGACTAGTTTGGTTGCGTTAGGGGGGAGGTCACCAGAGTCAATGAAACTTCGGACAGTGCTAGCAACAAGCGTAGGACGCAACGTCAGACAGTTGACGTTCCGCCTCAGCGACATACAAGTCCTTACACCAGACCACCGTAGCGCCACACTTGTCCGCCCTCTTAATGATGATGGAGTCATCGTTCTTAATTAAGAGACCTGAGTGCTTCACGTTCAGCCAATGAGATGTTGATGCGCTTGAGGCTGGGTTTGAATTTAAGGCGTTTGATTTCCGCGCGGCAGTTTTCAACGACGCGGTCGAGGGTTTTTGTTAAGACCGGATGCTGGACACCACGTGGACTTGGTGGGTGCAAGCTTTAGACAAATCTTCACTCTGAGTAGACGTACCCGAATCGGAACGAACTGACCTAGATTCCTTGTCGTGGAAGAATGCTCGCAAACGCATACGGCAAACGCATGCGAAGAACTTCTCGACGTCCTGACAGGAGGTGAACTCGTCCAATCGGGTCGTCAGCGGGATGAAATTCGGTCCACGCTCCAGGACAGTACGTTGGCCATCAGTTAGGGGAAGATGTGGTTGGATGGTTACTACCTTTCTGTTTCGTGCTCGGCCTAGTTTGCAACATAAATGATGAATTGTTGGAATTCCTTTAGAGAATGCACTTTTAAACTTCTTGTAAAATACAAATATCCTTGCCAGATTAGGAGGTAAGAACTTATGAGCGATCTCGTCTCCAAGGCGTCTGCCAAGTTTGGTTATACTCGAGCAAGACTTTGAATATTGCGCCCTGCAGGAGACTTGGTGCGTCCCGTGTCAAGAACTCTGGCAATCTATTGAACGCAAAGCGGTCACATGGGACACGTCACAAACCATGCACACGCTCATTGCATATGGACAGGCCTGGCATGAGACTCCCCGGCCAATGAGCGTGAGCCACCGCCTCGGGTTGCTTGCATAATTAGGGATCGTCGCAAGTTTTGTCTATCATCAAGCGTTGCCATGTAAAACACTGCTGTAAGGGACGATAGCCTAACACTTCGGGGACCGCGTTCCATAAAGCAGATTAAACTGCGCTTAATCTTTAAGTAAATAAAATGGACTATTACACAAATAACCCACGAGTACGTTTTGATTAATGAAATAATTATTTCCACGGTAAGCACTACAACGTGTTGTTCGTTTCAATTTTAGAAATAAATGAAAGTGTGCTCAGTTTAAAACATTGGCCAATTTATTAATGTCATGTTTAATGAAAAAAAAAACCATAGGACAGTTGGGGAAAAAACACAGGGAAACTTGGAGTTGAAAGCAAAGAAACACCTGCAATGGATTTATCTTTATTTCTAATTTGAAATTTAAACTCATTTCAATATTTTGTGAGGTAAAAAAGAGATTGATTTTGGAAAAGACGACTTCTGACAATAAAGGATAATATAAAGTCGCACAACACGCCGCACGGCAGCAAACATTTTTTCATGCATGGCTTCACTTGGGCACCGTACCCCCCGTACAACCCTCGAAAATAGGGCACAGTCAGCGACGGGTGCCGCGGTGGCGCGTTCGCGACAGAGATCACTCCGTTGGGCTGAACTTGAGCTGCTGCGGTCATCCAGTTTTGATTGTTGTTTTCAAATTTCGTGTAACTTAAGGAAGGTGATTCGGACATTAGTTGATATCTTGCATTTATTTGTTTGTTTGTTTGTTTGTTTGTTTGTTTGTTTCAAATTAAAGAACAAGCCTTATTCCCACGAAAACTGGCCTCGGGTGGATATAATAACCGATTCTACTGCCAAAATACAGAGAGAACTGATCGGTCGTCATTAATATATGTATGTATGTAATTAATAACAAATGGATGCTCTTTACATAAAAGAATCAATCATATAGTATTTATATCATGGAAGACTGGAATACTTTGGAATGGTAAAAATATTACCTTTAAAAAGTTATTCAACCATTAGTTTACACTCTTTGGTGGAGCTGCAATCGTTTAAGCCGGAGACATTGCAGATGTACACATTACATGAAAATGTAGATACCAAAATTAGTTCATATTTATCTCTCTCTACGCAAAACATGAATCAAATACACCATTATTTGTTTAAAAACTCTCAATAACCACCCATGCAAGATTACACAACTCTTTCTCAAGAATATTTCAGATGACTTTTAGTGTGACTAAAAAAGCATCAGTGAAATGAAAAAACTTCAGTGTAAGCAGTAAGCTAAACCTCTCTCACTCCATTTGTCAGATACAAAGAAAGTGAGAGAAAAGAAATCATGGAATGGTTTCTTGAAGGTACAGTCCATCATTTGTGATTTATTTCTTTTGAAACAACAAAAGTACTTAAAATCTAAAGGGTGCCTAGGAACAAACCTGATGATGTTTCAGCTCAGTGAATGTGTGTACATGTACATATATTACGAGAAAATTATTCTAGGATTTCCGTTTCAGATAAAACCTTGCTGAGTCTTGTTTTGAATTGTGCCTGAATTCAACATCAGAGATATGCTCTCTTGTTCAGTCAAATGCAGCTATGCAATGTCATGCAGTAGACTGACAAATTAGGGGAACCTAATTTAGGGTATTCTAGTCTATTTTTTATTGTATTTTCTATATTTTTAATTCAGTGGTCTAACCATGACTTCTGGCTATGGATTTTTGATATTCTGTGTTTCTTATTGACTGGGATAACAGTTTTCTTTTTTAATGCGAATTTTAATAAATGAAATGAAACCACACTCGCATTGTGTCAACGCTTGTGAATGCTCCTAATGGCAATTTCCAAAAATGTATCTTTAGACACATCATTGGAAATGGCCTTCTTTCATGGCTTTCTTCAAACTGCCACAATCGGCCTGCCAGGGAAAAAATAATTCAACAGGCAGTTTCATCCAATAATTACCTTTCACCAAGGTTGCTTTTCAACAATAATTTCATTGGTTAGATTTAGATACATGTAATGGGAAATGATGGACTGTACCTTTAATATCCAAACAGTTAAATCAGTTTTTCCATTTCATGCTCAACATTGTTGCCGTTCGCATATTGGTGACTGATACAGAACATTAACTTGGCAAAGTCTTCAACTTGATAATTGAAGTGTAGTTACAATTCCAAGCATCAGTTCCAGGGCTGTTAATTTTTTATTCACCGAGTTTCCAAAGTCACCTTTTGAAATCCATTTGTGCACTACAAGTGAACCTCAACTGCCTTGACACTCATGCATGCCTGCATGTACGCGATTCATAGCATTTCTTCTACTCTTCCCCAATGACGCTGAGGAGTTGCTCTATCTTCTTGGCATGGACATCTTCAAAGGACAGGCCATCAACGTGCAACACGTCCGTTCCAGTCATGTCAAAGAACTCGTGGCTGATCAGGATGCCAAGCATCTCTCTCTCCTACAGTGTGTAAAAAGTCACACAAGAGATATGGAGATAAGATGTAAAGCACGCAATGCGAGGACCCCTCCTTGATGATGTTTCCAACATTCTGTAGGTTGGTGCAATGGTAACATTCCTTGCCCTTCCAGGACCCAGTTCCAATCCCACCCATGTCAACATGTATACTGTGCTTATCAGTCCCTCTGAGGGTTCCCAACCAATTTCAGAAACTTTAACGTCGGCGGTCCATCCGATCCTGAGTGAACCTAGGGTGGAGATACTAATCACACCATTCTCTACAAACTGAGCCTCTGTTTATTTCACGGAGACCATAAGCAGAGATCACAGCAAATTTAAGGGAACACAAACTCCAGAAGCAGCTAGAGGATGCTCAAAATATGAATGCCCCCGATAGAGATCGTTATGTGTTTGTAAGCATTAATTACGATGCCTACATTGTCAAATGTAATCATTTCATACCTTCCAACATTGAAAAGTTAGAAAATGGAGTACCCATTTTACAAGCCCATGGCAGAACAAGCAGTAATGCAAGAGAAGCTGTGTACATGTACACATGTACAGGCGACGCATACATAGTGTGGACCTCTGCAAAAAAGAAGTCCACATAATGTAGGGTTTGATGGCATTGTGTGGACTCGCACACGTCCACACAATGTTTTCCCCTCTCTGAACAGTTTCAGAGGCATTTTGGGGTCAAGATTATCTGTGGAAAATGAAGAGGAACAGGCCAGGAAATCATCATCAAAAATCCAGCTCGAAGGAGTTATCCTAGTTGGAGAAAGAGGAGCATTTTCCTCAAGTTTCCTTAACCACAGGAGAGCAAAGGAATGTCCACACTTTGTATGTAAAATAGATATTCTTGTGTATGTATGTGTAACTAACGACTGCAATTTTGACAAAGCTAAAAGCGTCCTCTTTTTTCTCCAAATAGCACCCTTTTTTGCTGGGACTTTTAAATATATTTTTATTTTTAGAAATTGGAAGTTTCGATTATTGCGGTCTGAAAAGTTAAAAATCAGGACACTTCTGATCACATCAGAACAGTTGGCAGGATTGCCATTTTGGATTGTTTAAAGTGTGTTTAAAGTTAACAATTTTCTGGAATATAGTAACCTCAACCATGAAGTATTACTAACATATTTGTCTGAAGTTCCTCAAGTTTGCACCCAAATGGTGATGTGGGGCTTTTGAGGAATCCTTGGTTTCATGATTTCATTGCACACATAAATGGTAACATTTTTTGATGATCAGACACTTACCCTTTCAACATTAGGTAGTGCACTTCTGAACCGTTGACGATCTTCATCACTTGGTGGGAACCCAACTGCCCTTCTCTTGTACCTCTCATGGATGGGGCAGACGCTGACCAGGTACAAGCCCACTGCGACGGCATAGCCTCCCCAGTTAGATACCCCAGCAGTTAGCAGGAAGTCAGAGGCAACAGAGCACGCAATGGTTGGACCTCGAGGGATGTCACGGTGGACGATATCTCTAACTTTGCCCATTCCGAGCTCATTGCCGCCGTCTCCAATACCTGAGGATGAGAGATGAAGGTTTTATCAGGTAAATGTTTGAGGAAGTAACTTTGCATGCTCAGGGGTGAAAATAGGTTACTTAGCCTTCATGTGGATTGGGTCTACACAGCCGTCACACACCAAATCAAAGTTTAAATCCCTAACGTTTGAGCATCAATTTTGCAGTGACAGCAATTACGTCCGCACTATTAAAATGGAAGAATTTCTGCAGACAGGTAAACAGGTGAGAATATCCTTCAAAATTTATTTTTGTTAAGAGGATGTGTCACTAATGTTTGCAAGAATTGAATTCACAGAATTAGCTAACTAGTTACATTCTCCAAAGATTACTACCTGCAGAAGGTCAAAATTCATCCAGTGAAGTACATACCTGATGTGTGAACCGTTGGTAGATCAGCAGCTGCCAGGAACAGCCAATCAATGCCACCGACAAGGCGACCTACATCAATGGCTTTCATGGTATAGTACCCTCCATCCTCAGCCTTTCCTGACCTCTCAATGGCAAGCAGGTGGTCATAGCGTGGGGTGTTGCTACCTTCCTTCAGCAGGAACTTCTTGGCTGTCTCTAGGCTGTCTTCCTCCCCTTCTGGTGGGAACTGAACCACGGATATGGACCTCACCAAAACCTCTGCGAAAATCAAAATCCAGACAGATAAGCACTCCACAAGAATCAGTTGTTAGAGAGATATGAAGTATCCAATTTGGAAACAAATCATTGGTTAATACTGTAACATTTAGCAATCTCTCTACCTAATACCTTCTGCTACCACTGCTTCTGGTACATGTGCTATCGGTCTTCCATCTTCACTTCTTTCATGCATAAACTATCACATGATATCTGTGCCCCCCCAGTAAACCTGGTCTGTTCAGTCTATGCTCCCAGTACCCACCTTGAGCAGATAGAAGCACCCCTTCATAGGTTGGAATGAGCCGTGTTGGTGGGGAGTGTAGCCACACGATGTTGAGAGTGATTGACTTTAATCCTTAATCAATTACTAGTCTCTTTACCCTTCTGCAGCAAGTCCACTTGTACACACACTCACACAAATCAGGTGAAACCTTTTTCTATGTGGATATTTTCGCACCAATGCTTCAAGTAAGGTGTATTTACCAATCTTTCTGATATAACCAATCTTTCAAATTTCACTGTTATTCTACACAATCTTCACCAAGCCCAATATGTGCACCTCGCTTGCTCCACACCATGCCTGACATTTTGCACCCATTTTGCTCACCACCATGGTCAACATTGTGTACTTACACGGATCCACACCATGCCCAACTGTGCACCTACTTTGTTCCACACCATGCCATATAATGTGCACTTTGCTCCACATCATTATGCCCAATGTTGTGCACCTACTTTGTTCCACAGCATGTCACACATTGTGCACCTACAGTACATGAACTCCAGAGTACCATGCCCTACACTGTGCACCTACATGAACTCCAGAGTACCATGCCCTACATTGTGCACCTACATGAACTCCAGCGTACCATGCCGTACACTGTGCACCTACATGAACTCCAGAGTACCATGCCCTACATTGTGCACCTACATGAACTCCACTGTACCATGCCCTACACTGTGCACCTACATGAACTCCAGAGTACCATGCCCTACACTGTGCACCTACATGAACTCCAGAGTACCATGCCCTACACTGTGCACCTACATGAACTCCAGAGTACCATGCCCTACATTGTGCACCTACATGAACTCCACAGTACCATGCCCTACATTGTGCACCTATCGTAATTTATCTGAAAATAGGCCATGGCTTATACTTTGACCCCTCATGCTGAAAAATGCCCCTGTGGTTTATATGCTGGGGAGCTTATACAGCAACATTTGAAGAATGAAATCAGTCAAACAAGCCATGCCTCAGCCCGGACTGCCTGCCTACCGGCCACGCATGCAAGTCAAGTGAACTTTGAAGTCTGAACGTACTAACACTTCAGCATGCAGCATGTGCAATGATTTACTTGGTTGGACACTGCCAGCACCGCAGTGTGGCTTATACACCGGTGTGGATCATACACCAACTTTAAATCTTAATTTGCAGACTTTGGTGTGGTGCAGCATACACTCCACAAGGCCTTTATTCCAAAAATCCCAGTACTTTGTTTCACACCATGCCCTACAATGTGCACTTACTTTGCTCCACCAGTGCTTCCAAGACCGTAGTCAGGGGATCATATAGCGCCTTGTCCACCACCAAGTCTACCTTCTTGCCTAATGCCTGCAGCATCATTGCTATGGCAATGGCACCCGGAGGTCCATCATCCTCATAGGGGTTCTTGTTATTCAGGAAGCAAGGGAAGCCTGTTGTCACGGCAACAGATGAGGCGTGGGAAAGTGCCAGGACTGACTTCAAGAGATCATCAGGGACAACAAGGTTGCCAATCTGCCTGTTGCCTACAGAGGAATGCCAAGATTATGAAGTGCTAGTTGTTGTTTTTCATGACATACTTTGGTTGAGTTGAGTTTAGGTTGGCTTGGATTACAGTGGGTTGGTTGAGTTTGACTTTTTTTTTATTTTAAAAAAAGTCTTATTTAAGACAAAAGAGAGAAAGATCTCACATTTGAAAATGGCAAGATGTCAAGGTAAGTTACATTTTAATTCACTCACCCAAGTCCTCGGCAATGAAACCCTCGAGCTGCTTGATTTTGTCCACCACAGCCTGAGATGTAACACTGGCCCAGTAGGGCTTCTCACTGAGTGTGACCACTTTGATGTCAGCTGGGGAGTCATCTTGGCTCTGAATTGGTGTGTCTGAGATGTACATGCTCCCCGGGTAATGGCTGAATGCAAGAGAAGGCTCTGCATGAAAGAAAATGAAAGGCAAATGTGGAATGCTTGACAGATTCCCATGGAAAAAAGACTCATTCAAACTGATCAAGACATGCTATTTTCAAAGTTAACAGGCCTAGAAAGTCAGATGCTGCTATGGGCTGCGTGCTGTTCCAAGAAAGGGCGCAATTTGCCTAGCAATTAAAGGGGGCTACTTTGGTGGTAACTGTGCATCGCTGGTTCGTAAATGACTATGAAATGCAATCATTGCAGTCCCATGGCTACCAACCAAATGAACACTTCCGACCATCATGGTTCTTTTCGACCGATGACGGGGTGCTTCTGCTCAGGACGGAAACTCAACCAGTGTTCAATTTCCCCTGGATCGCATTGCATTTTGCAACGCAATACCAACCAAATGCTACGCACTTTCGAAAATAAATCGCACATTCTGCGATGCAAAATCACAGGGCTTGATGCTGTAATATGCTTGAAACAAGGATTTGATTTACACATACAGTGGCAGCGGGGCACATTATCCTTTGAAACACATTTGGAAATTGAGTCCGTAAGGAGCTCACTTCATTGGTTACCACACAGCTCGTGTTCACTTGGGATAGACTGGCTACAATAAAGTGAATAAGTGATGGAGGTTTTTGTTTTGGACTAACGTTACGTACGCTTCAGGCTATAGGGGAGATCGATGTTCAAGCACAGCGTACCATGTGCCTCAATCTCACATTTTGGGATATGTTATCACTTTCTGAAAGCTGTTACAACATTTTAAGGGAAAACTAGTGTTGTCCGATATGGAACTCTTTGCAAAGATTTTCATCAGAACTTGATAGTGGGTCAAGACTTTTGTAAATCCAGATTTTTGAATCAGAATGTTAGCAGTTTCCAATTTCTTCGAAATACAAGGTAATAAATGGGTCTGGCAAGGCACTAGATGCAACAAATTAGAGTGTGTCACATTAACATATCTTTTGCTAGTAAGCCATCGCCAGCAACACAAGAAAGCCAACACAAGTGTTTACACTTTTGCAAGCAAAATAAAGGCCAAATAATTTCAACACTAAGAAAAAAAGTGGCAGGAAACTCAGGTGTGTTCAGCTGTTGATATTCATCATGTGCAGCCATTTTTGGCAGACCTCATGCGCAGGTATCTTACCCGTCTTTTAAGGTACTTTACACCTACTTTACCCACTTTAAAAATTGTCCGGCTCAACACTGAGAACCTACTGCTATCCTAGATTATTAATGGACGTACGTTTTTTCCTCGGAAAATGACTTGAAAGACCACTGTTGAAGACTTTATTTGTTTATTGTTTTGTTTTGTTTTCCTTTATATAGACATTCAGTGATTTCATGCAATTTTTTGGTGAAAAAAAGTGCCCTACAAAACTGGGCAATTGCTGTGCAAACAAAATATTGCATAGCAGTTCGCTGTACTCATCTACAACTATGAGCCCAAGCAGGACCAACAAAAAGGGTAATGTTTCCTTTCAATGGATGCTCCTTTGTTGTTAACTGCTTTTCACTGGTTCACAAACGACTATGAAATGCAAATGTTGTGGCTGCATCGCTACCAACAAGATGAACACTCACCAACATGACTCCGATCGACGAGGGCTGCTTCTGCTCAAGAATGAATTGTTCCCATGTTGAACCACACACCGTCACAATCATTAAAATGAGACAAAAACAGCACTTACTGGCAGATTTGACAGATTCCACTACAGTTACGCCACACGCCCAAAAGACAGGGATGTCTCCCTCCTGAAATTTCATAGGATCAAGGTAGTCCGGCTTGTTGATGTCCGCTATCCCGATCAATGCTGAAGTGAGTGAAAAAAGGCCATGGTAGAGACAGGACAGGAAAGAAAAAAAGTATTTTTGTAATAATGACAAAGCAGCTGAGAGGTTAGATTATGATTAAGCAGTGTTGGATGATCATCAGGCCAAACCAATCACGATGAAGTTATTTGCCATTTTCAAGTGAAAGATCCTCACCTGACTCCAATATCCAATCTAGTTTAATTCTTATCATAGCTACAAGGGGTACAATCTAGAACTGTACTTAATGCAATAACTTAACAGTCAATAACCCTAACACTCCTCAATCCTTCACTTGTTGGAGGTTGGACTGAGGACTGAGGACTGTTAGGGTTAAACTGAAAAGTCTGTTCAGTATAATAAGACCCAGTAGTAACTTATCCGCATGCCAAACAACCTGAGAGTCTGAGAAGACAACACTGATGATGTCCAAAGGTACTAGTTGCTGACTATGGTGGTAGTTTCAATGGTATTTCTATTTACTGCTCCGTTTAGCAAGATTTCATTGATCAATACACCTGCTGTGTAGCCTTGAGGCTGAAACATGAGTCCCCTATTGAAGTTCACAGGTTTCACTGATTTTATTCCACTGTTGGGCATCTGCATGGAGAACACTCACAAGATTTTTTACACACTTTTTCTCTCATGGTGTCATAAAAGAAAATATAAGTTGATCCTGGGATAAAAAAGGGGACGTTTCTGTGGACTTTACCCCTCAAAGGATATCTTTTAAGGATAAAAAGAAACTGCAATTCAATAAACCTCAGAGTTAAAGTACACATAAACACGAAAAATGTCCAAAGGTCTGTTGTGATGTGGGTTGATCACGGTCTTTTCATTGTATATTGAGAGCTAATGTAGTTATTGGCCCTTTATTTTGTACCTTTGACAAGCAGAACGTTTGTTTTTTTCAACAAAGTACCTTGACTATTTGGTCATATCTTGGATTAACGATGTCCCCAAGAGAAAACTTAAACAACATTTATCCTACCAACCTGGATCGCCTATGTGGACAGGTGCGCCATGGTAACTGGTCAAAGGGTGGGTCACTCTAACTGCAGTCTCCACTAGATCACGTGGGATGGGTCTCAATGATACCACCATGTGGCATTTGAACGGCCCAACAGGATGGCACTTCACACTTGTCTGACACACATAAGAAAAAATAATGCCCATTCTACCTCACCAAAATAGTTTGGGTGTGTGAAAACAAGGCCACTATTATCATCAATTCTGCACTGTTACTGTACATTACAACAAAAACCAACAATTCATTTGGAGGCCTTATAAATAAACACACGATAAGGTGGAAATTAAGTATGCACATAAAATGTACAAACTGTCTAGTCTATGTCGCAAAGTTACCACTAGGCACCATGTACAAACAATTTTTACTTTTCTCTACACTACCCGGCGTACAATGTCGGTAAAGCAAGAACTGCACCACCAGTGATACATGCAGCTTGTTTTACAATAACACTCTTTACAAACACTCTCATATTATGTGGCGATCCTTTTGTCAAAAAAGCGATAAAATTCTGTTTATTGCAATTGGCCTCTGAGCTTTTGAGTAGGCTACCCAGCATCTCCCCGAATGTCATTAGTCCTTACATACTCAACATCCCCTTACCCTAAATACACTGATGCGGGAATTCTGTTCCAGGTATCGCAGGGGCACACTTGCAGCCAGCAGAGCTTGGTCAAAGGAGAAGCTGCACCCTTGGTAGAAGAAGACATAGTCTTTGAGGAAATCCTTGAATCCCATGATGTTTTTGACGCTGTGCGTTACCTCCCCATTTTCAATGATGTTGTAGGTTGCCAGATCTGTCCTGCATTGGGTCGGAAGAAAGGTTTCAGCACAGAACTGCAATGGGAAACAAGACTCACCAATCTAAATTCAACCTTTACGTATAAAACACAAGGATACATAAATTAATGAATTTGTTGCAGAGGACAAATGTAGGAGTATCGTGGCAAAGATATACCACATTTGGAATAAGATTTACTACCTCACTGGAATATCTACTACCTCACTGGAAGATCTACTGTCTCCCTGGAATATCTACTACCTCACTGGAAGATCTACTGTCTCCCTGGAATATCTACTACCTCACTGGAAGATCTACTATCTCACTGGAAGATCTACTACCTCACTGGAAGATCTACTACCTCACTGGAAGATCTACTGTCTCACTTGAAGATCTACTATCTCACTGGAAGATCTACTGTCTCACTGGAAGATCTACTGTCTCACTGGAAGATCTACTACCTCACTGGAAGATCTACTGTCTCACTTGAAGATCTACTATCTCACTAAAAGGTCTACTACCTCACTGGAAGATCTACTACCTCACTGGAAGATCTACTACCTCACTGGAAGATCTACTACCTCACTGAAAGATCTAGTACCTCACTGGAAGATATACTACCCTCTGTAAAAACTACAACTGTAAAATCTGTGTGCTCAGTTAAACTGGAAATTAGTTTCTGTTAGTTTTAAGGAGAGTAATTTGGTCCAGCAAATTATGTCCCATGCATAACACGGACATTTCAGACTTTTAAATATTGCGTGAACACTTGTTCAAGTGCGTAGGGTGATCAGATAAACCTGAGAAAGCTACAAAATGTATACTTAATATCCTGATCCGGTGCTGGTCCACATTTTAAATAGAAGTCACGAAAAGATGCGAGAAGTCAACTAAAAACTTAGGTAAGGTCTTCTTGATGAAAATACCCAAGACAAATTCATGAACTGGCTTGGCATTGCAGTGATCCTTATCAACAAACCTACAAAATCTGACATGGGTGCAGATGATCACAAGACATTCAAAATCACCATGGGAACAAACCCTAGCATACCCTGCCTAACCTGGTAGGGCCCTTAATCGGTCCCATTTCCAAGCTCAGTGTGAAAGATCACTTGAGGTAAGTCACCTTGAAAAGCTTGCTATCCCTTGAATCCTTGGGAAAGCACAGTTTCAAGAAACTTGGAGGTTGTTTGTTAATCACCTGATATCAGAATCAGTTTGACTGAGGCCTGGAGCAGTGAACTGGCCAACCTCGGACTGAAAGAGAACAGGAAGAGGCCCTGCGTTGGCAGCACAGAACTTGCCATAGTCCTCAGCCAGTGACTTTTCCAGTGCCAACATATTGGTTTGTATTCGACCTGTAAACAACAGGGTCACAGCGGAGTCAGTGTCCACACAGTACGACTGCAAAAGGCTAGCTTCACTCACTCAACTCTCAGACTTACTGTGCTTTTTCTGGCTTAGGTCATGTCTTCTATTTTACAGTGACTCCATATCCAGGACCAGTCCCTGATGGGTCAGTATCCACCAGCAATGACACACGTCAATCTTGATGTCATTGGATAAATCGGTGAAGATTTTCACTGGCTCCAACAATGAGCCAGTTTGGTATTCCAAAAGTGCACGAAATGAAGCATGTCATAGGTCATTTGAGAACACTTAAAGCCACACGCTTTGTTTTCAAATGATTTGGCATTTTGAAATGCTGAACTAGATCAATGAAGCGCCTCCATGGTATGCTGGCTGTGGGCTGCAGGAATGCAGGTTTGATTGTACATGAGCAGTACGTACATTGTAAAAAGTACACTTTAATAACCTACGGAAAGGCTTATAGAAAACCACCTTAATTGGCTCCTCCTATTTTAGGTCCTCTTCTTATAAACTCTGGACACAAGGATGAGTTCCATATGGCATTATACAGCTAATAGCTAGGCCACTGGGGAAAAAAAAGCCATGTCTGACCTTGGCACATTCCGGAGGTACTTTCCTTGAAGTATGCTCCTGATCGGAAAGCCCTCCTAGCCATTTCAGGCTCAGCTTGGGCTAGATCCTCTCTGCTAGGGACCGGCATGTTGAACCATTCAATGTATCTAGAAGGAAATTTGTGTTGTTCGAAAGCTGAAACAAACAAAAAACTCAAATCTAGTGGGCTGCTAAATGCTGGATTTGCACAATCCCATCACCAGGTCAGAAAGGAATATCACCTTATTTTGTGAGCCACATTTTTTAAAGGTAGTTTTATGGGGGCTTCACTTCATGTCCAGCTAAAGCACAAGAATGGAAATAAGATTAGGCCTAGGACTAATAGAATACAAACTGTCAACTTTATACTTTTACAGATACGGTCTTTAAGTAACTGCAAATTATAGTCCAATATCATAACCACCTAGCTAGGATTCAGTAAAATGTTTTTGGTCAAAACTTGAATGCACTCTTTGGCCCTACTGCTTGCCTTCATGGCCTTGGTGAAGGTAATCCAGATAACTGGAAATGAGAACTGTATGGAGATATTCAAACTTCTCCATACATAAAGGGACTGACCGGTTAGCACAAGTTTGGGAAAGAGTTGCATATAATACAGACACCACTTGACACCCTGTGCACAAACCCTGAGATTGGTCTGAAAAATTTGACTTATTTTCTACGTGAATACGTCAATATTTTCCCTGCTAAATTTGACTTTTAAAATCGGTGGCATCCACATAATATAGAATTCTTTCCAGCACTTGTCCTATGGTACAGTACTCAGTAGGCCCACTTACTATAGTGACTGGCATGAAAGAAGCACTTCAAGTTTCTTATTTAATTAATACATGTACATCCCCCAAATTACAAGTTTTAATTCTATTTCTAAGGCAGAGAAAACTGTCAGTTAGAAACGATGCCACAGTGACGTCGTATGAGGGCTCGTCTCCAATGAACTCAGTGATCACGCCCCCATTTATGTTTTAGTTCACGCAGTCATGCCTATTCATAATTATTGCTAATAATTTGAATAATCATACGTGCGAGATAATGTGTACACGTACTCTAGACGAGAGCTTCCTTATTATAATCTTGTCTTTGGTTTGTAACCCCCCCAAAAGACAAAAGATTTTTTAAAAGGGCAATGCTACCGCTAGCGCCACAGAGTTTGGGTATCCATCCCGCGATGAGCTGTCATCGATCAGTGTTAATTTCTACAGCGCCCTCAACTGCATATTTAGCACCCATAGCGCGCTACAATATAGAGGGCGCCGTCACAAAAAAATAGTCAGCACCGTACCGAGTCACTCACGCGCAAAGCTCACGCGTGCACGAGTCTCAGTGTTTTGCACAAGTTTACATGAAAATAGAGAGTTCCATTGCTGCGCTCATGTACCGGTATTTTCTCTCGTCGTAACAACACTGTTTACTCAGAACTCCTAATAAGGTGAGTGGCATTCCTACCATCCTTCAAGCATGCCGATTTACAGTGTAGGCGGGGTGAAGTTCAACTTGAGCTTAGGGCCGTCACAGACATGACAGAGTAAGGCCTCCATCTGTCCGTGCATGGTTACTTATTCCGTAGCTTATTTATCGTTTGACGTTCGACATTCAATGTTGAACAGTGGAACTTGAAGTAGTAAAGTAGCCTTGGGGCCTAGGCCTTACTCACTTCTGGATCCGATGCACACCCGTAAAAGCGATAGAGTGCAAAAGGGACAAAAAACTGCCGCCTACATTTCAGAGCTTGTTAAGGCACAATTGCACTTTTGCAGAATACCCCGCCACTCACTTTGCCCACCTCGTAGCCGCGGATAAGAAGTCACGCTTGGGGAAATTCTTCCGCCTTCCCCATTAATTCACTTTGGCCCACTTCGTATCCGCGTAACCGCTTCGCAGGACCCACATTGGACTTACATATTTCTTCCGCCATCCCCATTTACGTTGCAGGATGCACAAGGCCCACTTCATATCCCTGTATCCGCGTAGCCACTCCCCGGGATCCACATGGGACTTAGGAAAATTCTTCCGCCTTCCCCATTCACTTTGCAACGAAGGCGGAAGAATTCGTTCTTCATTCTCAAGAATGACTTCAATGCTGTAAACAACGCATACCATGACGCTGCAAGGATAACCCAAAGTTGAACAACCTCCACATAACTACGTAGCCATGGATTTTTAGGGGGTATTTTTGTGTGGCGGGGTATGGGGCAGCGCCAACATCCAGGATTCTCACAAAATGACAGGTACTGCTCCTGTGAAAACAGCGATCTTGGCAACGCACGCACCAGCCAGTCCGAGAATCGGGTTATACAATCTTCTCTTTGATCTATACATGTACGTATGCCGCAGTTTGGTTGCTGCCCGTATTTTTGTGAAACTCCCGGATGTCCGCACTGCCCCATTTTGCAATTATTCCACCGTTTAACCCCGAAGAACCCCATGCAGCGCCCCGGAATGCCAGGGTTGCCAGTAGTCGTCACTGATTGAGGAGAACAATGACATGAGATTCAATGTAATCTGCAGGCGGGGCATGGGGTTTGACTATTTTATTTCTGTTTGAGAAACACGTGGTGTGATAGTGGGAAAGTGAAACCTGTTTCAACCGTGGAAAACTGTGCCCTGGTTGAAATGGAGGCAACAGGTTCACTAGAGTGTACAGAAGCAATTTGAAAAAAAAAAGTTTAGAGCCGGCCTTGGGATTGATGTACATGTACCGGTATATTATAAATAGTTTCGATGAAACAGCAAGTATTTACAACTAGCCTTTATTTTTCCTCTACTAATTACACTGCCGTAAAAAACTACCGGCAACATTTCAGGGCTTGTTTGACCCTGAAAAACCTGTTGCCCTTGGTTCCCTCCCTGGGAGAGAGTTGCTTATGTATAAATGTGCATCATTGTGAAATGGCACATACATGTACAATGTATATTGGGTACATGTGAATGGATGTGCATGGCGATGTTTTTTTTTTTTTGTCCCTTTTGCCTTCCATTGCTTCCTTCGAATATCAAATGGTTACTTGTTCAATGTCGAATGTCAAACAAGGAACTCACTTCACCTCGGTTACAAGGTATGGGTAGTCAGAGTGACTTTGACCCTACAAATCGCCTTCTTTAGCATTTGGACATGGTCAAGCGATCGTAGAGTCCAAGTACTTTCCATAGGGTTTCTATCCCATCAATTCATTTCACTCAAAATAGCTCCTACCTCAAATCAAAATCCTCCAAATTTACCTCCAAACAGTCCTTAAACTGTCTTATGCTCCCAGCTTAGGAGTCTTTGTACATGTAAGTGAGAATCAGACATTCCATTTATTAATGATGGTACCGGTAAGGTTTACTCACATTTGGGAAGAAAAGAGAAATTTCCCCTTGAAATCGGAAACGCTCTTGTTGTCGAGCTCGAAGTTGCCATCTTGTTCAATTAGCAATTTGAACTGTATGTTAATGTCCTGGAGATGACGTCATGGTGCGCTGGCCTAGTGCACCATTCACAAAAAAGTATGCCGTGTCGGTACATGCACTCCGACGGTTTCAATGTGATCAAAGCTACTATCTCTACTATTGCCCGACCATGTTCCTATGTTAAAAAAGGCAATTTGTGGAGTCCAAGCTACTCGGACTAATGTATGGGCAGTTGTGACCAGTCAATCTACATGCAGCGTGTCTTGGCATGTTGTACATGTACGTGTAAATTACATGGGTGTATCAACTTTGCCAAATCAACCATCACGTCAAAGTGACGTGAATTGTTATGACTGTGAATCATACCCGGGGCATAGCCATGTGCCAGGTCTGGGAGGGGGGGTTTCGAAGCTGTGAAGGCATGTGTGTGCTAGCACAGATTCTTGCACTGGACATGTACTTTGCCAAAACAATCACCCATGGTCGAAGCTTTGGGGGGGGTCCAGACAACAGGAACCCCCCCCCCTGTAGCTACGCCCCTTTACACCTTGCCAGACCAGTAATAGAAAATGTTAGGTCCCTTAGACTATACACACAACTTCATTTCAGGTCGCTCATTTTTTATACAAATGGTAGGGAAATCACTAGGTCATGTAAATACATACATGTACATAGCCTCGGCCTACCTGTCATGCTTATGGTAAATGCAATTCTTGCGGTTCACAACCCCCAGAATGTGGGCTACACTCCCTCATGGGAGCACGATGGATGACAAACCCCACAGTTTTTATTATTTTTATTGTCATTGCATGACTGTACATTGATATCGGTCGGGTGCTACATGTACATGGCATACTGTACATGCTGCCATGTGTAGCTGTGAATGTGTGCCAATTTGGTGCATTGCATCACTTTTTACTGCCTGCTTCCTCTGCTCTTTGAGAGCTGACAGCGATTGGGAGTACATGCTGCTGATTTTCTGTAGTCTGGATGGGCAAAATGCTCAAGAATTTCACCATGTTAATGAGGACATCAGGTGAATAAACCTCCCCATCAGACATCTAACTTCACCAAGAAGCATGTAAGAAATTTTTATAGCTGTGATGGCAGGGTAAGTTGGCACAATCAAAACAGCCAAAATGTGTTTATAAATGCGAGTTTGTATCTGTAAGGTTTGAACAAACCTTACAGATCTGGAAGTACAGTCTTGTTCCGTTTTATTGAATATTCATGCATACCAGATATTCAGTTTTTCCCCCAATGTCTTGGATATGATTAATCTGCTTACCAGGAAATGTTCACATACATACATTTAGCTTATTGTGTGAGTCCGGAACATACACCTATAATTTCTGAACTCAATGTCCAGGATATCAATCACTGCAGAATCGCACTGTACATGTAAATGAGAGTTGTGACCATTATCGATCCATGTGCAATTTCTGACCGGCAGTTCTTGTTTACCAAGTGCCCCCAGTGAGAGGTACCCCCGACCATGACAGCTCCAAGCCACCTGCCCCTGTTTCCCCCACTCAGCCTTTTGGGTGTCTTCAAGGGTACGGTCTGCACACTAGCCATGGGCCTGACGGCAACCCTAGGCTCAGTCTTCATGCTGGGACCTATAATGCCTCTCATGGTCATCCAGCCTCGTCTTTTCCGCTGGATCAATGACTGGATGATGAACCTATGGTTGCTGCTACCAGTGGTAAGGCTAACAACCAACAATTAAGGTGTTTGTTCATAGTCGCCATTCCTGTAAACAATAATTTGGAGCAAGAGCACTGTACAGATGCCACTTGGGGTAAAGATACTGTACATGTACAAATGCAAGGTTAATGACTTACTTACATGAATATGTACACGTATACGGTACGTTGTCCATAAGGGGTATGTACTCAGACGTTTTTGTTGCTGTATGCTGTTATTTCAGTAAATTCAGGTATTCTTATTTTTGCAGTCTGTAATTTTCCAGATAATCTTTACAGTAGCCAAAGTAGCAAAATCTTAACAGATTATCACCGTGTACCATACCCCCAACATGGCATTGCTTCATTCCCTCACTACCGGCGTGTTTGTTTCACATGGATCCGGATCCCGATCATTTATCAACACTGGTTCTCTGCATCCGTTGGGCGGGGTCTAGTTTAAGTGACCCCACCACTGATTACTAATCGAGATACGGTTCTGTGACAAACAAACAGGCCCTACATGTACATTTAGCTCAAAATTAAACCACAGTGTAGGTATAACATAATGGCTTACTGGCAACACACAGAACTGTCCTTAGTTTCTTTTGTGAGTTAAAGTGTTATCGCCAAAAGATCATCGTTAGTTAACACAACAAATGATTAATGGTTTATCTGCCTATCCGTTCCTCACATGCTCATGTGAAAACATTGTAAAGGAGCTAAAAATCACACAAAATTTGTTCTTTAGGCATAGAATATGAACCTGGCTAAATGCATACAAATATGAAACCAACATGTAGAGTAACACTCGTGTTGCAAGATGCTAAAGTGACCAAGATGCAGACCCTAGTATAAATGTATACTTGTACACTGCACTCTTAACTTCTGTCAGTCTCATGGGTACACCACACCCATCAAAGGTCTTCTTGTGTCTGTTAATAAGGTTGTGTGTTTTTTTTTCTGGTGATGTGTGTAGTTTTGAAGATATGATAAATTTCTATTGTTCAGCTTTATCCACAGTCCTTGTTCATGTGCAGATAGTTTCTTTCACGCAAACATTAAAATGTCAATTCAAGCAAATTCTACTATCAAATATGCAATGCTTGACTCAATTTCATTTTCAGAATGATCCTATGAATGCATTACCCGTCAACAGCAGTTGCCATTTCGTTGTGCAATAAATGGTGTTGTCAAGACAACCTGATCTTCCACTTAAATATTTGAGGCACGTACATGTACATTTATGCACTATGTACAGTGCACATGTATCCTGCAGTGTTTGCTACATCTTATCATCCTAGAATTAGTTGGATATTATGTTCAAAACACTTTTTGTCCAATGGGGTTTTGATTATGTATTCCACATACTCAAATGTTCTATTTAATAAACCCATTTTTTTGTGTGGCCACTTTGAGACTTCAAGATTAAACATACATGTATACATGGTACACTTGCACTCATGCAGGTTGGAAAGGGTGTACTACACGTCACATGTACATGTACCTTGGCTTATTCATGCATTGAATCATTTTGACTTTATGAGCTCGCAGGATATGTGCCAGGTTCTATTTTTCATGACTGAATCTACATACGTGCTTCAACTGCATCACTGGCCTTACAATCATGCATCTCCACTTGTTCTGTACACATACTGGTACAGTAGATTTTGCAGTTTGGGGAAAATTTGTAGACCCTCAAATTTTGAGTAGGCACATACAGTTGGGGCAACAAGTTTACATCTACACCTTGTAGAACAAAAACATTTTCCTTGAATTTCATAACTGTACTCATTCCCACCAACTTTTCTTTTCATGAGTGCAGACAAAATGGGTCTCTACTTAATGTACTGGGTGTGTGCGTCAAATAAAAGCACCCAGATTTATATTTACAAAACAAATCAAAATTTTACATGCATGTCCTCCAACCCTAATATTTAGTGCCACTTTGTGTATTTTCTGTCTCATCTCATAGTCACAGTGGACCACTTTCTGAAGTATTTTTAAACAATGCAGATGAAAATTTTCACAAAATGATTTTCAGAAATATTAATATTTAGAACCCTAATAAATGTCTCTTGAGTATTTTCAATTGAAGAAAACATTATGAACATTAAGTTGGGATACAGTTTGTCTGACCTGATAAAGAAAAATATTTCAAACAGCGAAAAATTGAGGAAAACTGTTTTTTACTCCAACTGTACATGTACATTTGCATGTAGCGGTATATACACAGTACATGTACCAGTTACTTGTACAATGTGCATGCCCACTTGCATCACTTAGCAAGTGTACCTGTACATGGTACTCATAGTACTGCAGTATATCCGAATGTGGTTTTGAGGTCAGGTTCTTCACGAATTCAGCTGATGACATGACTTTGTAGTAATGTACATGGGTACTTCCAGAAATTAGGGGGCCAAACGTGTGCCATTTCCGTGTCCCTGATGCATCTGAGCTTTGTTATTTGACCTGGAAATATCAGCGGAATTGATATAAAACTATTACTTTTTGTTTGGCAGGTACATGTAATTTGCATTAATTCATCACTCTTGGAAAGAAGAAAATGTGTTCTGAACTTACAAAATCATATGTCAGATGTAACAGGTACACAAACAAAAATGGACCCCTAACTTCTGGAAATACCCACATGCATTTCATTTTACCTCGACCTTTCTGTTTCTTGGAGCAATGAACTAATGATAACAATAAGAGGAAGTGCTTCTCACAGTCAATCAGATACATGTATGTTTATATACATGTACATGTATGTAAGTTGGCGTAGCTGAGACCCCTGCAGTCATTGGTTCCCCTTGTGGCTGGCTGGAAAAAATTCCCTGAAAGCATGGGTTTTTAAAAGTGTGTACATGTACTGCCCATACTACATGTAAAATCTAAAACTGTACCCTGGTCATACTCTGCTGAGATTTGGCACACATTTTCACACAAAAAAGCGCCTGGCATGGCTTCTGTTTGCATATGGTGCTTTAAACAGTCAAATTTTAGTCTTTTTTGGACAAGTGATGAGATGCATTCTGGTACATCGCACCGAACAATTGCACTTATGCACTACCATAGCCACATGTGTACATGTACTCATTTGGCTGCCCATATAAAAACTGACACATCTTGCCAGTCTATGCTCCATGGAGTCCTTGTGGATTTTAACATGGGTACTTTATGTGTACTGTATGTGGAAGACGATATGTTTGAGTTTTGTGTATTGATCTCTGCACTCTGAGATGCATGAAAGCAGGAATGAGTCACAAAGGTTCGGATCCTTGTTGCTGTAAACCTCTTTTAGTTCACATTCTGTACCAGTGTATTGCTAAAGTTACAAGTTGAACCCATTTGTGAAATTCAAATTAATGCAGAACGCATTGCACATTTACATGTACTTGGAAATTTTCATTATTTTATGCGTGCAAACAGGGAACACATTTCTACCGATATACATGTATTAAGAAAGCAACCAAGTGTCTTACATGTACATGTACGGTACCTTGTGATACCCCTGCACAATCAACAAACAAACATACAAGTACGTACTGTACATTGTAGGGAACATGTATGCAACATGCTGGTACTAGGCACTACTATGTACATGTACTTGTACAGTAGTTGTGCCAGGGGCACCTGTTTATGTGTGGTGCAAATTATGTATGAGACAGATCCTGTACTTGTGGAGGGACAGTTAAGACCTTTTCATTATGGCATAGTTAAATGCTGATGATGTAAGTTTTGCTTTATTACAAAGAAGTAGGTCCTAAATGTGTACAATGTAGATTGTAAATTATTCCTGAGCTTACCAACACTTATCTTCAAACAAAACGTCTCAAGCAACATTTATATTCTTCAGAAGTAAACTCTCAGTTTTGTAAGCAGTTTCAGTCAAGTTACAGTCAATTTGATTTTCAGGAAAAAGTGGACCGTCTCACTAATTCATGTGGTAACATGTGTCTTTGTTATTCAGTGAGTACACCAAATGTTGAAACATCTCCATGTTGGTGGACACGTACAATTTGTACTCAGAACTGGACACATCTTGGGTCAGGAAAGTTTAAAGAAACCTTGGTATATATATAAAGCATACATGTACATCTACAGTACCTTACACTGAACGTCCAACTTACATGTACTGTACATGTACATGCATATTTTTTCCATGACCAAAGCAATATTGGCCTTAGACATTAAAACGATTCATGCATAATACAGTGCACATGTACATGTAAGTACACAAAGCAGTAAAAATGTTAATCAATCCAGCATAATGTTGATATTCATGTTTCTTTGTCTTTTTTTATGCCTCATCACCGAATGCTGTCCAGGCACTTATGGGTAAGTTTCCTGTCATCTTTTGTTGACATTCCTGATGTGAGATGTGTATAGTACCCGTACTTGTAGAGTACCTGTATGGGCAGTGATAGCTGTGCCAGTTTCCTTGTTTCAGTTTACAAGCATCAAGCTTCCTCATTCCTAAACACATTTAATGTACATGTACCACCTTTGTATACAAGAAAGTAATGAGCAATCTATTTTCCTTTCGAGGCTTAAAGATTCAGCTTTGCTACCGAACAACCAAAGTGCATGCGGGTGTACGTACTTGTGCATACGTGTATGTGTAATTGAATCCAGTGAAGGTTTTAAATTCATATAGCCTAGCTCATAGCAGTACTGGACATGGTAGAGAGCACACTTGCTCGGTGGATAACAGCAACTTTAATTAAGGTGAAATCATTGATTGAGCATAGCCACTTAATTGAAATCCAAATTGTTACATACAGGTAATTGCATAGTGGCATCGTAACTGGTAGAGGATTACTTTTATGGTGCCATTTTGCTTCAAGTTCCCTCGTAGCTGTGTGTACATGTAATGTACCTGAGTTTACCGATACATGCATGTACATGCACACAATCCATGATCAGTGAGTTCATTAAAAGCTTAATTTGCTAAAAGGGAAAGAAATTCATACAACTGATGATGGAAGATATCCAGCCTTTAGCAACAACCTGGATCACATATGCAAGATAGATTCATTTTGTAATTGATACTGCTGGCCGAAACTCAGCAAAGAAGAACCATTCTCGACCAAAGTCCCTTCCATTAACTCCACCAATATACCGTACATTAATGCACAACTTGCTGTAACAAATTGATTGTCAATTATCATAATAAAGCTGTTCTCAGTCAATATGCCAGCCAGCTGTGATCAGATCACTGTATAACGTAGCATTGCTTTAATAAAGGCTTCCTTTGCTTTACCAGCTATACTGTACACTGTATGTGTAAATGAAATAGTAAAACGGCATGTAACAGTCTGTTTTGTCAGATCAAATTTTTTCTTATCATATTTTGTAAAGAGGGAATGATACTGGAGACACTCTTAAGAAATTGGTCATTAGACTCAAATTGACTTTTCAATTCCATGAGAATCTTACTCGTAGGCAGCATAACATAGGAACAGTAACAAACAAGCATGACAGGTGCATTTTACATACATGCACATGTACATGTCTGATATTAGACTCAAAACATTGGCGTGTATATGTACATGTACACTTACAGTTTTTGTGAGAAAAATTTTATTCAGTAATTTATTTCCAAAGCCACAAAATGGAAGGTTAGGGTTATATTTGCTATTAATTTTTGCAGACCACTTGGGCACTTTGATAGTACAAAATGCATTGCTGGCATCTCCATGGTGTCTTAGAGGCTGTTTTCGTTACCATTGTTACTTTGATTTAGTTACAAGGAATGCACACAAGGTTTACTCAAGTCTATCCCAGTGATACAAAGCTCTGAGGATGTGCTAATTCATAACCTTTATATTTTGGGGTTTGTGTGAGCCTAAATGTAGGCCAAATGGTCACATTTACAGTGCTGAAGGTGTAAGTCGCTAATGCTTGGTTTTCTTTGTAACTGAAGAAATAGTCATGGGGGTCACGATCATGACCTCTGGTGACACACTACAGTCAGACGAGGGCAGCATCATCCTGATGAACCACCGCACTCGGCTAGATTGGATGTTCTTCTGGGTGGTGCTCCATCGGCAGAGCACTCTGCGCACAGAGAAAATCATTCTGAAGAATGACCCCAAGATGGCCCCTGGCTTTGGTAAGTCAGAAGTTGTTGTTCCAAAAAGATTGAATCTGCTATAAATGGACAGGCTGTAATACAGTTTGTCTTTTATGACAAGCCAATTTTTAATTAGTCACAAATCACAATCTTGATAACAGAATTGATTTTGTCACGAAAACTCTAGGTGTTTGTCAAACTTCTTTAAGTTTCCTCCAAGTCTTTGCTTACAGGCTGGGCAATGCAAGTTGCGTGTTATATCTTCCTAAGACGGCAATGGGAAGTGGACAAGCCGTGGTTGCTGTCCATGCTCGAATACTTTGGACTGCTACAATATAAGGGGCAATTCTTGATTTTTCCTGAAGGTATGTACACGAGGTCCACATGCTTTTCCTTTGGCTGTTTTGTCTTGGTATACATTTAATGCAAGGTATAACTTGCTGTTTACTGCAATGACTGAACTGTTTATTTTAACCTCGTTGGTGTCAGGATGATCACTTCACGTAATTCAGAAAATGTAAAAAGTAGACTTTGAGGATGTTTTTAGTGTTTTGGATGTAATCATCTCATCGTGTAATAGTGTATTCTGAAAAATGGACAGTGCCATCCAGCAATGATTTCAAAGTTTGCTCCTTGTAGCCCCAACTTGTTTGAGTTGTTACATTTTACCAAGTAACATTTCAGAAAGGTTGATTTATCCTCCAGTCAAGCTTTAAGATGAAACCACGGGAGAAGTTAAGCAAAGAATGCACAGGGGCTGACCTGTGTAGTGGATACATCATCGAAAGTGAAAAACACACGATGAGATTTCAACTTTGAATCAAAAGCAATGCCACACAGTGGGACCGGACTTCATTACTTTGAATCGTAAGACCTGGGGTTTTCCTGAAAGGCAATGGTTGAGAATCCTGTATTGGATATGATTCAGCTGCTGAGACAAAGTGAAAGCTTGTACAAGTAAAATAAACTAGTTGAGAAAACTGACTACTGATTACTGAGGAAACTGATTCTGTGAAAGGTTCTGTGTTTTGAGTCCAATCAATTAAGCCAGTGATGGTGTCAGTATGACTGCTTATGAAACCGGTGCCTAGCTTACACTGTGCTGTACATGTTACATGTATCATCCTCAATGGACAGTTTGTGGTCTTTTTGGAGGGAGGGGTATTTTTTTTTTATTTAACTGAGTTTAATACACTTTTACACTGAATCAGGGCAGTTTTATATTCTGTAGCTTTAGGTACATCTATGTAGTTGAGTAAGGTTTCTTGGATTTGCCCAGTGGGTGTGATAAAGTCACACTATTCGTAGGCATGACAAATCAGACTTCTTGGTAGAGCATTGACAAAGGACACCATCTCCCAACAAGGAAGGGGGATTAAAGAGGAGCAATGGGACATCTGGTATGATGCTGTTCCTTGAATTTATGCATCGACTCATAAAATTTAAAGTAAGTCTTTACCGGTCAAAAGCAAACGTTTCCCAGGTTCAGCTCTCCTGTGCAAAGATACAAACTTGACCTTGTTGTCAGTCAAAATCAGTCAAATTTCCCATATGTGTCTGTGTACTTTGGGGAAATCAGGTGGAAGGAATTTTTGACTGTTTCTGACGATAACAGCAGAAGGAGGGTTAATCAGATATTGAACGAAGTGGTGCAATAAAATTGTCTTGATTTTTATTGTGACAACCTCAGTTTGTGACTTTGATTTGAAGGTACCAACTTGGATGCCAAGACCAAACTCAGAAGTGACAGATTCGCCCAGAAAAACAATCTGCCCCTGTACCAGTACTGCCTGCATCCCCGCACCACGGGGCTCATATTTCTTACACAGGAGCTAAGACAGAGTAAGTCTGACCTTTGAACTTTGTGTCGAAGAAGTGGGCTGTGGTTGTGTAGCCGGTCCACAGTAAGTCCTGGGTCTTGGACGCACTGCATGCAGGCACTGGTTTGCGAACGTGGGGTGTGAAGCGCAGCTGACAAGTTTTCATCTGAATGAGCACACAAACATCTAGTTTCTTCCTGTGGGTACCTGGAGTGGCATTCAAGTGCCAATTATATGTCTCTCTTGATCACTGTCAAGGGGTTACTTGTGCGCAGAGCCCGTGAAGCTGACTGGGTTCACAATAATGGCCATTGCCAAGTCTAGGTGCGTTTTTTTTCTTTGCTTTTTTTAAACCAGCATAGTAAGACTTGTTTTTTGCCTGAAAAATCCTGGTTTTACCAAGGAAAACACTCTTATGCCATTAATAGTCGCTAAGTTGTTATGTCCCTTTGCTGCTATAAGTGCACAGACATGATGAATTGTAAAAACATTTCAGCACTGTGATGCATCATCTTAGTACTCTGTTTCTTGGAAGCCAGGTTCAGTCCAAGATGCCTTAGTTCTTCTAGATGTTATTTCTGGAATAGGAGAGGATAGTGGTTGTAATTATGTACATGTACAGACTATAAATATTACATTTGAACTTGGGGCATTTCCTTACCATATTGTTCAGAAGTAAAGCAGCTGTGCACATGAGCGTCAGTCGGTGGGTGAGGGGGGGTGACATGTCCCCTCCCCTCACTCGGAAAAGTAGGGGGGATACTATATATATATACTCTAAATTTATACTCCAAAATTTTCCAGGGCCCTTGAGCGGGCCCTTTGTGCTCGCATTTGTTCTGATCAGGGCTATGTCCCCCTCTCCCACTTTTCAAAACGGACCGACGACCTTGGCTGTGCGTAGTCACTCTGCACATGACAGCTCATCATGTGACCCTGGTAGTATGCAGATTCAGAAGCTGATAATACTTAACACTGTTGTGTCTAATTTCATTTCTGAAGTCCAACATGTTCTTTAAATGGCTTTTGCAACAGTTCCGTGTAGGCATCCATGTTTTTGGATATTATATGCATTCTTTAGGCTTTACTCTCCAATACGCAATGCAATGACCATCTCACTGTGCAGAAAACCTCCTGGATACCATGTACGACGTGACTGTCACCTACCCAGACCTCATCCCTGAGCACGGTGAGCTGAACATGGTCGTGGGCAACCTACCCACCAGGGTCAACTTCCATATCCGGCGGCACCCGCAGTCCAGTCTTCCCGCCAGCAAGGAGGGTCTGGAGTCCTGGTGCCTAGAACGGTGGCGGGCCAAAGAGGCCGCCCTGGGGGCCTTCTACTCGGGCGGCAAGGACTGCCTCGTATTTCCAGGCGGAGAGGGGGACGGTGGCGAGACCCACACCCTGGAGTCTGACCGGAGGACGCTGTACCTAGCTGTACTGTACTGGCTGGTGTTTCTACTCGCTGTGTTTATCCTGCTGTGGTACTCCGTACTAGCGAGGTGGTACTTGTTGGTGGGCACCATCTACTTCATTTATCAGTTGGTGGTTCGGGGAGGGGTTGAGACAAGTATCATGGAATCGTGTCGATGGTTTTACAAACAGAAGGAGAGAAGATCATAGTGACTTTGAAAGGTGTTGGCTAAATTGTATATGTTTGGGTTATTTACTGCTAGCTAAGACAATCATAATATGGAGCAACAGGTTGTCACTCTACATGTATAAAGGTGAAAATCATCCATTTGGATAGACTTTAAGGATAGTGCACATACTTAGACGAAAGTTTGGACTAGGTTAGAAGTCAAGCTATTGATGATGAAAACAAACATGAATTCCCTGGTTCGTTCCACTTGCACATTGATTTCACTCATTGATAATGTAAATTCCCTGACGTTTCAAGGTTTGTTCTCCAAGAAAAGTCTAAGGCAAGGCAACATTTTGGTGTCCAAATTAAATCCTGCACTGTTACAGCTTTTTGATCCTGGCTTCCAGTAGGATTTGAAATTTGGGAGTCCAGTCTTGTTCCAGTCTTGCTCCAAGACTTAGTGTCTACATTCTTTCCAAATCAGTATTAATTTATTAAATGATCAGAAATTTTCCTGTAGTTTTTGCAAATTTTTTTTTTATATATGTGTTGCAATTTTGGAAACCTGTTTGCATGATGTGAGAAACTTTATGAATTCTTCATACCAATTTACAGCTGAGGCCAAGGTCCCTTCTAGAAGTATTTATATGATCTCTTTGTTCACCGTGATCAAATGGACATTCCAGGTTTGAGCCAGATCACCTGAAAAGAAAAGCTGTTTGATCAAAACTAGTTTGGGGACAAGATTTTCCCTTTCTAGAATGTACATGTAATCTGTTCATCTTTATGCACTATGGTCGAGTTTGAGTGGCCAATTCTTGACACGGGTATCTTGTTTTTGTGCTCGAACAGCGGGAACATCATGACCCAAGAACACTGTTCTCGGAACAGCATCACACACCAACTCCTCATCAGGGTTTTATAGGAACTCACAGAAAAACTCGTGAGATCTTGATTTTTAAACAGCTGCAAAAAATAGCAAGATGGCTTACAAAGCCGGAGAATTTTTCACAAATTAACAGAAGTGAATGTTCCTGTTTAAATAGAAAAGAATTCAGCCCAGTTATCCAAACATTGACCCTCGAAGAACGTACATGGATGTTGCCACGTTGCATATTGCTTGCCACCAACTACCAGTTGATTTTACGTTCCTGGCATTTGAGTGGCCCCAACCCACAAGCAACAAATCAAGCTGTTCATGAACATACAAGCACAGACTGCCTGAACTCAAACACTGATTTTCCCTGATTACCTTACTTGTGTATTGCGAACTGTACAGTACATGCATGTGTCTTTAATTTTCACACTTAACAGCATACATATACATGTACCTATGTATGCTGGCCACTGCTAGATTTGAGTTGCTTTATGCCGTCCAAGCTCCAGATGTAACTCAATTTATTTTGCCTTTTGTATTGCGTAAAGAAAAAATTGCAAGAAAATTTACACCCACTGATGATCATAAAAGGAAAGAGTACATGTAAACTCTCCAGTGATTCACATTTTTTTTATTAATGTGTTGTGTAACATGCATGCATTTCTCAAATTCTCTGAAGTGATAATGGAAGACATGTTGGCCATCTCTGTAGTTCTTGTATATGCCAGAAACCATCAGCCAGTAGTAGTCTTCTTTTGCTATGACAAGAAAACTGAGTAAAGTGTTTAGTTGTTTACACCGAATTAATGTAATACTTAGAATACATGTAGGATGGCCTGCATGGAGAGCAACAAAGTTAGTTTATAAGCAGGACAAGCTGATCATTTACCCTGTGGCATTGTGTTTAGACATTCCAGGAAAAATATTCACATGTACTTAAAAGTAATGTTTCCCCATGGTGTAAGTAGTACATGCAGTGCAAGTAGTGGTAATAGGATTGAACGCCCAGTGATGTTTAGAGGGGATGTTTATGGATATTGCTCTTGAAAGTGGGAAGAAAACATTAGTTTGGGAATTACAGGGGCATGTAAGTTTGGTTTAACGAAAAATGGAAACTTAACCTATTTTGCTCAATTTACAGTTCCAATTTGAAGTAACCAATTTGTAAAGGCGCAAGAGCAAACAGGAGTGTGAACTCTGATATCAGATTAAATGATTGTGCCATGAATTTGCAAAAGTTGAACACATTTTAGCCCTAAATTTAGTCTTCTAAATTTTGCTGTAAACGTTTTGTGACATCCAGTTTGCTTAGTTTTTGCATTCACTTGAAGTATGAAGCAGCCTTTAAATGGTTGTTTTTTCTCCTTCTAATGTAAATCAGCTCTTCATATAGACAGAGCTGTTTCAGTTTGGACCAGTCCATGCCTTCAACTTATTTGTTGAACTGACGCAGAATGTATTGTATATCAGTGATGCATTTTTGGAGATGTTTTTCCTTTTTATAATGCTGCCAAGATCCCTCGTGGAATAGGTCTGCATGTACTGATGATGTCACACTTTGTTTACATCTGCACTTAGGTATAGAGCCAGTGGGAGCTTATGGTCCACTGAGCACCATACAGTGTATAAAGGAAAGTGTACACGTAAACATGTGGCGTCATCAGTACAGAGGTCTGTAGATTTAATGTGTAATATAGTGGCCTGTTTTTCCCACTCGTAAGTCATCTGGTCCTCGTGGAACATTAAAGTGACCTCTGTTGTGTGTTTTTGAATGCAAACTTAAAAGACTTGTTAAACTTTATGAAGACATTAAAAATTTAGCAGCTAATCAAAACAGTGAAGGAATTTGTCGTGATGTCTGTGGAAATAATTCAAGCATAGCAAGAGTGCAAGTATTTGGACAATATTCGTTGTGAGTTGGAATCTGAGAAGTTTTTAAAAAACATAGGATTTCTTTTTATTTCACATTTATGATGAATTGGCTATCAGTGCATGTGCTCCACACTGTGACATTAGCCGTATACATGTACATGTATATATACCTTTGAAGCTCTTTATCTTAAGGGCCATTGTTTTTGAACATTGTAATATTTCTTAACAGTTTCCAGAAGTCAAGAACCAGCGAAAGCAAAACACACTGACTGGTTTCTCTTGCTGGTAACGTACTTTAACTTGCCAAAATGTTTTCACAGTCAAAGAATTGTTCTCATAATTTAATCTCAAGAAGCATTGCTCAATAAAATTAAAGGCAATAAACTATTTGGACAAGTCATGAAACTGTATGGTCTAGCATTTTGCTTGCTCAGTGGGATGTACCTCGCTCAGTTTGTTACGAAATAAAAATAGAAATTCTTCCCCCGTGTCGGCTTCTGTTACAAGGCCAGCATTTTAAGTCATTGAGTTACGAACATGGCATGAAATTTGCAGGGTCAGAGGGCCGAAAGAAAGTCTTTTTTCACTGAAACTCTTAAAGTTCCATTGTCCCCCAGGATTTAAATTATCAGGGTCAGAGGAGAAAAACAAATTTATTTGACCCGTTATTTTTGTTTTCAAACCATTACGAAAATCTACTGTCAGGAAAAGTCATTTTTACCATTTAATTTTGTTCTAAAATTGCATTTTTTGGAATGGGCGGGTTCGTAATCCGACTAATAAGAATGTTGGCCTTACTACGGTCTAAGACGTACAAAACAGCAAAGAGTATGATGATTCTGTCCATGAGGATTTGTGCCACTAAATGAAATTGTAAATTTGTAGATACATATCGGATGTAACTGCTGTTCTGAGTGAATTTGAGAGTTGATAAGCTCAGTGATATGGTGTGCCAAGGAGGTTTAAATTGTCCATGCGATGGAAAATATTATTCTGATTAACAAAAATTTGAAAAAGTTAATCTACAACAAAGCACTAATAATTTTGATGTAATTCTGATTTTTATTGAATGCTATTGGAGTTCGTTTTGTGGTTGTTTGTTACTGTTTAATTAAAAGTCAAGTATTAAGTATTTGGGGGATTTTTATTAAGAAGACTGCACTCTAGTCAGCTGCCGTGGCTCAAGTTACCTGCATACACGGGCATTGCACGTCAAAAGGAAAAGGAAAAGTCTCTAATTCTGCCACAGACAAGTGGGAATTTCATCGACACCACGAACTATAACTAACACTCAGTTGCAAGTGGGTTTCAATTGTGGAAAACTGCGATGTCAGAACAATTTCGGAAAGGGAAAATGCACGGAGTGCGCGCAAGAAGTGCCACGTTGTACCGGGTTCCAGTTCGTGTGAACGAGAATGCCTCGGTTCTCTAAAATGCGCACAAATGAGATTACCTCAGTGTCAGTTCATGGTGAAGGAGACGTTATATCAGCCAGTGGTAACTTACGGAAATGTGTTTGTGTATTTCTGCCCCATTTAAACAAAGGTGCATGCAGGCCTTGTCTTTGGGAAATTAAAAACATAAAGATGCATTTTGCAGTAAAATGCAACGGTAAATTTGTGGCCTGTGATAACAGTAACGGTATGGCTCAAATCACTTGCACCGCAATGAGCTGGATGCTGATGTGTACGACTAAAGTAGTGTGTACTATTTGTGCATAACACCTAGCTCGTTTGTACTTAGTTTATCTGTGTAGAAAGAAGATTATTAGTTAACATTTTAGTAAAACATTCTGAACGTTTGTTTCAACTTCATTCCTCAACTCAGTATGACTCGTTTTGTCAAAGTCGATGTCTGTAGTGCATCAGGGGCGGGTCCAGAACCAAATTATACGAAGGTAGGGAGACGAAAATTTATATTTCTTTATGTACTCTGCACTAGTTATAAAGCCTAGGGGGGGGGCAGGCCCCCGTTTGTACCGCCCTCTCCCGTCCGAAAAATGCTGTTATAGTATCAAAAGATCATGATTCGGAACTGTAAATAAAACAGGCAGTTTTAAGTTTTTTGACCCACGAAATCGTCAGCTTTACTACAATCACTTTTTCTTACCCCTTTCTTTTTTTGTACTTTTGTCTTTTTCGTTTTTTGTATTTGCATTGTTTGTATCGTTCGTAATTTAATATTATCAAGGATACAATTTCCGTGATTTCCCTAAATTTCTCACAAAATCAGTCTCTCCAGATTTCCAAGAGAATATTTGATCCTCAAACTTACAACGGTATTATTGACCGGCTTGTCGAAGGCGGTTAGAACCGAACCGTTTGAACGCCCTCCGCCTTAATTAAGGCAGATTTCTACATGTACGTTTTTGGGTGTGTTGCGTACACGATGCGTGAATGCTTTTCGCTTTTAGTATACGGACACAAAAACGACCCATACGTGTGCGTTGCGTTCGGCCGTCAAAATCGCTCCGGGAGCGATTTTGACGGATGCGCAACGCCTGGCGCAAGCATTATGGAAAGGCGCCTTTATGCCCTGGGCTGGTTTCTCACTCACCTACTCAATTTGTGGGAGAAAGGGTGAACTATTGCCAGTCTTATCTTTACTCCACTTACGCGCGCAAAAGACACTGAACTAATGATCTTATTGGTGAGAGCCAAGCGCTAGGCGATCCACAGTCGCCCGGGCTTTATCAAAGAGCACCTCAAAGGAAAACACGTTTTCTTAGATTTTATCTGTTCAAATAAATATGGAAGCATTCAACTCGTATGCAGTGTCATTTGTCTTCATAGCTCAACTATAACAAGCTCAAAAGGGTTTTTTTTTCTGTTCATGCCAAACAATGGCTACATGCATTATTTGGCATGCACAGGGTTTATTCACAACGAACACAGGGCGAGGGTTCCCCTCGTTTTCTCCATATGAAGCAGACTATGGAACAGAGAACACCCCCGCTTTTGTATTGGTCATTATACTGGTATCTCAGGAATTCTTTTCAGACATCTAGGGGGATGTGTTAAGTAACACTAGGCTGAGGTGCGCATAGGGATTGGACTGGGGGGGTACCCCTCCGTCCCATATCTTGCCTGGTATAGTTTTCTCAGCTCAGAATGATGCAATCTTCATTCAGAATTCGCATCTTGGCATGAACAGAGGAAAAAGCCCTTTTAAGCTTGTTATAGTTGAGTTCTGAAGAAAAACGACACTGCACTCGATTTGGATGCTTCCATATTTATTTGAACAGATAAAAGATAAAATCAGAGAAAACGTATTTTCCTTAGAAGTGTTCTTTAAGTATTTACAGGCACGATCAGTGAATAAACCATTTGAGGATAGGTTAAATGTACATTCATTGTGTAGAAAATTAAACAGTATGAAGTAAATGTCGACTGCTACCTCTCCTTTAACACCGTTTGTTACGGGATATCCACGGCATTAAAGCTTCTCAATCTTAAATTAAGCTGTAAGAAGTGTTAGCCACCTCTCCTCCCTTAATCCCTGTAACTTCTGGTTAACCATTTTATGCACTAACACAACCAATTCTCTTACAGCTACGTAGTAGCTAAAATTGGGGCAAGCTGATTATATAACCTTCCCAAATCCATTTCCAATATGATTTGACGCACATACCAGAAAATTAGGGTCAATTAAGGAAATGTCTATGTGTACATTTATTTCCCGCTGTACTGCGAAACGCGGGAAACGAATGTTATTGAGGCCTCCGTTGTCCGGTCCAGAAACTGAGAACTGCAAAGTACATGTACACACTGCAAAGAAGCAGAGTGAGGTGCCGTGACAGACCGAAAATTTGTCGGGGGGGGAGGCGGACTTACCGCCATCCACACACACACACACACACACAAGTAGCTCATGATGCTCGACCCCCTCCCCCACCTGGTTGCGATTTGCTTTTTCTTCTCTTTTTTATACAACACACTGAGGAAATCAAACTTGAATAAAGGTTATAATCGTGGCTCTGGGGATATTTTGTTTTAAACGAAGCCCCACATTACAACAGGTTAAGCATGGAGACTAGTCTCCTCTCAAAAACCATTTCCCATGCAAAAGAAAAGACATGGTGGAGCCCTTTCCTGGACAGTTGTATAATAAAAAATAAAACACCGTCTCCTGTTGTGTCGTGCACAGGAGCTGGTATATCAGACAAGATATGGGACGGAGGGGTANCGATCAAACAATGACCAACACAAAGGCGGGGGGGGGTTCTCTCCGTCCCATATCTTGCTTCAAATGGGAGCCGAGATGTATGGCCATCACAGCTGGCAGTTTAAGATGTAGATGTATAATACGAGCGATTCACAATAGTGCGCCTCGAAGAGTTTGCAACGCGGTGGCCAATCACAACATGCGAAACCTGTCGACCCTTTGTAAACGGGCACTGGGTCGACAGGTTTCTCTCATTGTGATTGGCCAATGCGTTGCAAACTCTTGAGGTCGCACTGTTGTGAAACGCCTGTTTTGTATCCACAGACGTATGGACGCATGTCTTTGATTGTATCTTCGTTTTCATAACACTAACCACAGTAGGGTGTATGTAAAACCATAAAGCGTTTTCGAAACAAGTGGATTTGGCTTAGACTTTGGTTTCGCTGGTTCCAGCAATTTTTAAGCAGCGTTCGAAACCACATGTTCAAGCTCTGACTGGAACCAGCGAAACTGAAGTCGACTCCACTCTCGTTTTGAAAATGCTTAGAAAGTTTTGAACAATAAAAACGTTCGGGGGTTGAGCTCAACTGGTCGAGGATGCTGCTGCTAAAGTTATACCCAGAGACCGAGGGGTACCCCCAACATGTCCAATCCCTATACACATTCTAGACTACTGTTACTTAACACATCCCCCAAGATGTCTGAAAGGAATTCCCCAGATTCCTGAGAGACAATGACCAACACAAAGCAGGGGGGTTCTCTCCGTCTCATACCTTGCTGCATATGGCTAAAGTTGTTCCATACCTCTGGAACAGTAAACCACACCCACAGAGGATGCGTGATGATACAGCACAATCATCTGTGACCATATAGACTAATCCGATCTGACGCCATCACAGCAGTGGCAGCGTACACGTACATTCTTCAGCTTGACAAGCACGTGTATTTGGCGAATCCTGACACCCTATTGGTCGAAGAAGTATGTAACGCGAGCGTATCACCTGTCCACAAGGCCGACGACCAACGGGCTGTTAACTATGATGGGGCGGGTGTTACATCTTAGGTGCTAACAAGGGGAATTGCTGCCTGCTTTTGACGGCTAGACAGAATCCAACTGGGATTGTACAAACATGTCCCCGACAGAACGATCGCGCCTAAACGCGCAAATCGGGGGTTCGGTGAAAATGGAAGCTGTAGCCGCATAATTTCGGAGTGTACGAAAATGTTTGAGAAGAACATTTCGTACCAGGATGTTTCCAGGGTGATATGTGAGCACTTGCCCCATCATAGTTTATTGACAGCTCGTGGGTCGTCGGCCCCCTCGGTAGCTCCAGAATATGCGGGGATCATACATGCATTACTATTAATGTGGTTTATTGCATTACATGTCGTCGCTGTGGTAAACTTGTACTGTACATCGGAGAGACCAAGCGTTCGCCTTAGTGACCGCTTCGCGGAACACTTGCGCAGTGTGCGCCAACAAACACCTGGTCTCACTGTTGCGCAGCACTTTTTGCGCGCTGCCACATACTCTCGGTGACGCAAGTGTCTGCATTCTGCGGAAAGCGTCATCTGATGTACAGTGTACGGAACTGGAACAGCGCGTCAACTTCGAACTTGGAACGCTGCATCCAGGGGGAATGAGCGTATGTTTTTCCTTGTTCATTCAGCACTGAATCTGCTTGCCCTGAAGAAGGTACTCAGTTACCGAAAGCTCGGCGAGCACATATTCCAGAGCACTGATTTTATGTTGTATTCTTGTCAATATTTTGATCACAGTGCTGCGCAGCCCTTCCATACTTCTCTAGACAACCATGAACAACTTCAGGGCGCGTCGTGACGCGAGCGCAGCGCACCTTGATATTATTTGGCACAGCTCATACGTGAATGTGCACACAGTACGGGGACGGACGTGCGTGTGACTTCTGCCGAACCTCTCTAATAATAACTGCGTGTACATCTTTAAGCCGCATAGAACGCGCAAAAAGCTCTAAACTTCAAATTTCCGCGTTCCATCTTTCACAAGTCCGATAATCGATGGTTTAGTTGTCCGCCAAAAAAAATTTTGTTTCAAGTACTACCCACATTAAGCATTACTGAAAGAAGGATTTTCTGTCGATAATATTCCGGTTATACATGTAAATTGCTAAATATGGGTATCGGCTCCAGTTCCTGCATGGGCCGCCAGAGGAAAGCAAGAAGGTACCGCTTGAACGACCCTCGTCTTGCAAGGAGGGATGAGTTTCTCGCGACCATGTCCGACTTCGGAATGACGAACGGAGAGCTGTGCTTCCGATACGGGAATATTGACCAGCGTCAGCCTCCCAACCCAGCAAGAGAGGTCTCTGAAGATGACTCAACAGCAGTGGATGATGTTGATGCCGTATCCAAGGAGGAAAATGAGAAGAATGAGGCAGCTGAGAAAGCGATGACTTGTCACAACCACTGCCCTCTGCCTGCAGGCGAGGATATCTCAGGCACACCTCATCCTGACCTTCCTAAGGGAGTGACTTGCATCACGTGCGCCGCTACCATCATGGAAAAGGGACAAGAAGGAGGAATGGTTAGTAGAAAGCAAAATGAGGCCTGTTTATAAATGAGAAAAGTTCTAATGATTGCAGTAACACACAGCTAATGTTTTCAATTTTGGCATATGTACGCACGTGCGTAACTCGGGAATTCTTTGCCACTGGTGTGTGTACATGAGTTTGTTTCTGCATTTAATTGGGGACCCTGAACAATAGAGGACAATAAGGTCCCCGATTGACAGAGGGTCCCCGATTGACAACTGTGTACAAAACATATTGGTGGTCTTCTCAAAAGGTTAAAGTACAAACAAAAGAGGAACAATAGGGGGTCCTCAGTTGCAGGCAAATACACACTTGTGTGTGTGGGTCCGTGTTTCTTGGGGTTCTGTTTGCCTGTGTTTTGTGCCCGTCTTCCTTATGCTGGGTGTGCGGCCATTTGCAGACTGGGAAAGGGAACGGCGAAAGGAAATGGGGACATTTGTATTTGTAATTTAAAGATGCATTTGCCAATTTTTAAACTTAATAAGACTTGGGACAATTTGTTTGAGTAGGCCTAAGTCATTTTCCCTCCTACCCACAGCCTCACCCCAAGGCAGACCATAACTTTTTATTTCCAATCTTCAATTTTTGTCCCCCCCAACACTTTTTCCTCCCTGCGAAAAATGTTTTTTGAATCCACCCTTGCGCATGACTAGCTTTCCATCGTTTTATTAAAACCATTGTAGAGTAGTTCATGTGCGGAAATCTCTCCTCGATTGGGGGGGGGGCATCAATTTACACTTTTTGGTGCACACCGTGTTTATTATCTTAGGCCTATTCCATTTATAAAACTCAAAAGGGGAAATCCTCGATCCATCAAGTCCTTGAGTATTTTGCTTTGCTTAAAACATGGAGGGGACATTCGACATTATGTTCCTCCCCCCATACCAAATTCATGAGGGGAGTGGAGTATTTGAAACCAAACGCCGGTCTCCCAGTCGGCGTAGCAACAAAAACGATCGTCATCACACCAAATGCTTTGTTACAGGGCGAGAGTATGAAATTAGACACAAACATCAGCAAAACGTCCCAGGACACCAGAACAGCTGAAGCGAAGAAAGATGTCGCCAAAGAGCTTGGATCAGTCTCAGCAGGTGCCATCTCAGCAGGCGCCGAGGAAAACGAAAACTTGACCAAACAGGAAAAAGGTGTTCAAGGTATATAGCAACCTACATGTACTAGAGGAGACGATCGATTTATTGATGTGGACAACTGCCTCATTTCGCACCTCTTCCAAACGATCACGTCGATTAACTTTGTCTCGCCGTTTCCTCGTCAATTAGAAGTCCACTTAGACGGCAAAATAAAAAAAAGACGTCGTGGACAGGACTCGAACCTGCGCGGGTACCCCCATTGGATTTCAAGTCCAACGCCTTAACCACTCGGCCACCACGACACACGTTGCATATTGTTTCACATTTATAAAGATTCGTAATTCCGTTTACTCGCCATCTTTTTCAAAATATCTTTCTGAATGGATTTCGCAGGTTACCCATTTTTACTCGTCTGTCGAATTTCCAGTCACCCTGGTTTGACTATAATCACACATTACAGTTTCAGTCGTCTTCACCTTGGATGATTTTGGCTGGATTTTGAGTTTTTAAATGTGTCCCCCATAAGTCAAAAAAGGCCTATTCTATGCTGCTCTTTAAGTCGTCTTAATCTTTTTGTTTTATTTTTCGCTTTTATAAGGGCAAGCTGTAAATACAGAAAACAAAGCTGACCCCTTTTCTGGTGACAAGATGTCCCGAGGTTCTCGATGGTAAGTCTACCGGTGGTCATTCTGATGCATTGTGGGAGGATACACAGAAGTTGGTACCCCATCTCCTTGCAAGTGTTATATTGGAGCATGGGGCGCCGGCGAAAATTATATCGGGAAAGTCCAGGGAATCCAGAAACACTTTGCTCCTTTTATCATGTAAAATTATTCTTGTGTCAACCGAGATGCTTTATCTCCTGCGCTTTTTTCATGCGGAGAAAAATGACATGGCAGCGGTAAAAGAAATCATGAGGCAATTAACCTTCAATTTTGTTCTTTGGCAGGAGGCGTCGCTACAACGCACATGACAAGACCCCATCGACTCTGAAAGTTGAATAAGTCCTGACACACTCGATCCGATAGCCTCGTCTTATCTCAACACGAGCCAGCTAACGATAGTTGTCATTAAATTTTCAAATGAACTGGCAAAAGATTAACTTATATATGTGAATCTAAATTTTCATTTGCACAACTCGGTAAATACCCAAGGTCTGAAACTGTTTCCTTAAACATTTTCACATTGATAAATGTTATTGAATAAAAGGTTTTCCCGGTACATAAGTAGTCCTTTGTCCAAATTCATATTAAAAACTGTTAAAAAGTACAAAAACAAAACACACTGGGATTCATAAGTCACAGAACAGTATCAATTTAATCAATATCACAGGATGTCATACTTGTACCCAAGTAGAAGTACGAGATTGCAAATAAACAAGTAGATTCGACGATGAAACATTGATTTCTACATCGTTCATTCGTATTTAAATGCAGTTTTCCACCCCCTTACCACTTTTAATGAACTGGCTGATATTTCTTGAAACAAATCAATCTTGATACACCAAACTATCACAACTCAAAAATTGAAAGCTGTTTTCATGCGACACCTACGAAGCGCCTTGTTCCCTGCCCAAACCTGGTCAAAATGTTCGACAACGAAATGTGAACATTTTATCCCCTAAAAAGCTTTCATTTCTGAACAGAAACAGACGTCACCTTTCAGCTTTCTTTTGACTCGGTGCATATAGTAAATTTTTACGATCGGTGGAAGATAGCTAGCAACTGTTTCTGTAAGTACATCTATACTTACCGTCACAGGTGTGCCAAGACAGCAAACAAACAAAACTAAAAAAAAAAAAGTAACCAGCCTCATAAAAAGGAGGACAGACCGAGATCAAATCAACTCCACCTCTTGTTTGTCTAATTCAAAATATCTAAACCGTATTTTCTATGAATTGTCTAATTTGTTAACTGCAATCGGGGCTGAGATTTAAACAATATTTAGTACAGCCGATTCAAAGCACACTTCACTGATTAAAATTAGAGCAAAGCGAAGTGGTCGGCCACCTTTCTTCCGATGAACTTCCAAAACGTACCTTAATTACAAGCACCACATTTTTCAGAGATCGGCTTGGCAGCCATGTTTTCATGGTAAGGGATGGCAATTCAGGAAATGGCACATTCTAATTTTTCTTAAATCTTACAATTTCCAGCTGGCATAAAGTTTTAAACAGAAAAAAGACAAAAACCAAAAAGATTGACTTACTTTATTAAAGATGATTGCAACTGTAACTAAAACGAACATTACATACTTAATTTGTCATCATAAAACAAAATAGCAGAGTTTTTAAGTGTACTACGCACACATATTTATGAAAATTTGGACATCTATTACATGCATTCATTTGGTTTAGAGCACACAAAGAATTTTAAGTTCTAGGTAATTCTATATCATCGTTAATAACAGAAAGGCATAAAAATTTAACCAGACAGTAGTTTACAATTGTTTTTCTTTTAATGTTCTTTTATCACAAAATGCATAAGAAACTAAACTCTGTGTGATTAATTCTTCATTTTTGACAATTATTAAACTAAAGGAGTCGAAGCTAATTAAGGTGGAGTGAGGCTTTTGCTAGGAAGTATGATGCATCAAAATACCTACAAGTTCATCCAAACGAAAAGAAGACATTTTACAAAAGGGTATCACTTACCCCAATGAACCTATACCATACCCAACTAAGCTATTTTTTGTTTAACCGTCTACACTCTTTTTTTTTTCAAACAATATTTAACCTCATTTACTTTCTCAGTTTGATTGACACTAATATTAATCGTTTCGGGAAAAGCTTCCTATATGAATAAGGACGCTTTAAATCCACAGTCTCCCTCTGCTACATCAAACAAAACACAGTACAGGCATTCTAAATATTTTCATGGGATGTCCCTTAAAGCAAGTCAGATTCGCTGAAGAAAAAAAAACCATATTTCTTCCCATGGAGAAGCTGGCACTAGCAGATATCAGATTTAAATATCGCTATCAGATTCCTCCATTTATTTATAAACATTACAATTTCTTGCAAATAAACACATGGACAAAAGTACCGCATCCTCATCAAAATTATTCCAGATTTTTTCTGCCAAAGAAAAGTAGACAGTAAACTAATCATATAGATTATGAGTCATTGCAATCAATCTGAAAAGTTCCAACATTTCCGAGGACTATTTCCCATCACTGACAGGCAGTTCCTTTAACTCACAGCTTAATAATACCAATCATTTTCATTTCTTCCATCTTCCTTTGAAAACTTCCTAAATTCAGGAAAATTTCAATCTAATTACGAGGAAATTCTCTCAAAAATATTTATTTATTAACAACTACCTTGGTAGTTTTCATTAAGAAATTATCAGTCTTAAACATTTTATAAATATAAATTGTAAACAATGTTTAATAAATACTTCCCAAAATAATCTGTGTGTACAATACTTGTACCTGATTCAGGTTCGTGACAGAAGTAAAGTACATTCAGTTCTCATAACTAATATAAGTTATTTAAACAGCCAAACTTCTGAATACATAGCTAATAAGACACAGAAAGTGGTTAGTTTTTAATGCAGAATCTTGCCATATAAAAACTGAATAGTGATAGTGGTGGTAGAGACAATTTTTATCCATTATTTCTTAAGTTGAGACAGAGGGAATCCAGATAATGCACGTTTTGTATTCTTATTACACACTAAAATGGACTCTCTGGCTGTAGGGGTACAGAATCTATGCATTATACATGTAATAATACCTTGAATATGTTCAAGACTGTCAAAACTCAATAATACACTGAAAGGGTTTTGTCAGGATTTATATGGGAATCTAGGGGAATCACTTGGTTTCCTTGTGCAAGGTGGAGGCTTTTTCTAAACAGTGACAGGGCCTCTGAAGTAGCTTGCACACTTCAAATTAAATTCAAGTCTGGCATGTGAATGGCACTATTTTGAGGCTATGCAAGCGCATTCCTGGACATCATACTCATTTGGCTAAATGACAATGCTAAATGAGACATATACAATAATAGACAAGTCATACACATCACTAATGACAATGCTGAAATAAAGACTGCACACATGCAGTGGCATAACTAGGAGGGGGCCTAAGGGCGGACATGTGCAACCCCACCCCCCATTTGAAATGTACACCATCCACGCATAAACTAGAGTCCATGTGCTTCCACACCCACCCTTTAAAAACTGTGAAAACACTACAGGTGCCTCCCAGAAAGTTCACCCTAGTTACACTACTGCAAACATATACAGGCCATATGGTAACATTCAATGCCATATGAAACATTAGACAGTAACCTCTGATCTTAACAAAGGCCTCACCCAGTCACAGAATTAAATCATACAGGAGCTCCTCAAACCAGACGCTCTTGCTTCAGCATGTCCTCAGCCTCCTCACCTTCTTCATCAATGTCCCCTGCGGTCGCTGCCCTGGATGACCTGCCAGGCCCTCCTGAATAATCTGCAGCCCAGGACTTGTAGTTCTGCCAGTAGCTCTTCTCCGTGTGTCCCAAGACAATAGACTTGGAGGCGTGGCGCTGCTTCCTCTTATAGATGCAGATGCTGGTGAGGATGACGAGGATGATAAAGAGGACAACAGCTACACCAACACAGACGTAGGTGGTGACGCGAAGTTGATGATTTGTGATATCTATGAGACAAGCAGAATGAAAATCCATCAGTGAGAATGCTAGTTTATGTTCTTGTGCAATGTTTGAAAATAGCCAAAATACATACTTTTAACAAATACAGTGAGGAACATATTACGCACAGATACCGTTATATTATGCAACATAATAATGACTCTCATGTCACAGGTATGGTGTGCAAGGTGAAACTGTTAAATTGATGAACCTTGAAAGCAATGAATTAACTGCAAAGTGAAATTTACCAGCTGCTCCTGGATCAGTGCTTCCCATGCCTGTCACTTTTGGTTGGTCTGTGTGTCTTGGCAACAAGACACTCATTTCTTCACTGACTGTCTGGTCCAATCCTGTCGTTGCCACTGCACCAAATTCAAAATCTTGCTGGGGAGTTGGTGATGCCGGTACAGTGGCAGGCTCCGGTGGAGGCGAAACTGGTACATTGACACGTTCCCTGCCAGGCCTTGTGAAGTTATCTTTTCCAACATCATCAGGTGTGTCAGTAATAGCATCATTCCCCAAGAATCGCACCTCAACATCACTATGGTCACTTTCAGGGGCTGACACATTAAGGGAAGTAATTGAAAGAGGTGTTACTCCATTGCTTTTTGAGTTAGTTTCACCTTCTGTAGCTTGAGTAGGTGATGAAGCAGTTGGTAAATTTGTAGGCACTGAAGCTCTCCTCCCTGGAATACTTAATGTAGTGGCAGCATCTGTGCCTCCTCGAGGCTGGTCACTGGCAGTCGATCTAAGACTGGCATCTACATAATGCATTCTAAAGCCGGCACCTTTACCAGATTTTGACTTGAAAACAATGCCGACAGTATTACCTGAGGAGGTCATGGGAGAAGGGACAGTATTGCCACAGAACTTGTATAAATTGCCATCCATAACTACGCTGACCGATGCCGAGTCTTGTCTACAAGTGGCTGAATCAAGCTCACTCTGGTCATCCAAAGCAAAGTCAAGAAACTCCAGCTGGATGCCCTGATTTCCGGGAAGGAGTATGGTCCAAGAACACTCAGTGTCTTGGGGCATGCTCAGAGGGAAGTTCGGGGAACCAATGATTCCTTCAGTATTGCTAAGTAGCTCATCACAAGAGCTTTCTCCAGGGTGGGTTCCTACATTTGTGATAGTGCTTTTTATTGCAGAAGACCATTCCACAGTCTTGATGTCAACTCTTCCATCTGTAACACCTAGACCTGGCACTGTTGTTGGTTTTGATTCTACGTCCTCTCCTTCGTCACCATTAAGCATTCCAGATGCGTATCTTGCTTTAAATCCCCGACCTACACCAAAGAAGCTACGGAACTCCAACTTTAGCCCACCATATGAAATTACCCCTTCAGACAGAACATTTTGACAAATAATTATATCTGATCTTTCATCTTCTAAACTGTAGATGGTAAGCACCACATGAGTGTCTAGTGTACTGCAATAGCTGTCATCTGTTTGGACATCGAAGTCAACATCTTCAAATGCTAGAGTAACATATGTTCCCTCACTAGGTCTAATGATCCAGGTTTTGTAAAAGCCCTGAGGAAACTGTTCTGGATAATTAGGAGAAGTGACAATTCCTCTGGGAGCTGACATTTCTGAGTATCCCCCATCAATTGCAGTAGATGACAGAGACAGGACAGGTGTTGTCACACCATCACGTGGCCCTTCGATGAGACGTGACCAATCTAGCTGTAAGCCATCTTCAGATTGATTGTACATTTGATAGGCAGCTTGAAACCCATGACCTATTCCCAAATTGCTGTAAAACTCCACTATGAGCTGATGAGCTCTTGGTGTAATGATTTCGGGCTGGTGGCTGCCACAGAAAAGGTGGGATTCTTCTCTGCCACTCAAGTTTTGGTGATGGACTACAACATACGAGTAGTGGGTAGAGCAATCCTGTTCCAGCATAGGATTGTCAACGTCAAAGTCCAAAAACTTCAGAGCAATAAAGCGAGAGTTGTCAGCTGTTGTGATGATCCATGAACAAAAAGTGTCAGCAGGGTACATATTTGGATAATCTGGGGACGAAAACACCCCACTAGTTTCTTTGAGAATACTATTACAAGAAGTTTGAGATGCATCCGTTTGTGTCATTGGTGTCAACAACTGACGATTAAGTGACGGTGAAATAGGAACAGTTGCAGTCACAGAGCTGTACTGAGCACGAAAACCTTCACTATAGCCTTGCAAATCATTAAAAATAATGACAAGGGTATTCATAGAAGAGACAAAACTTGGTGGTAGATCTTGGCCGCAGAACACTTTGAATGAAGACCTGGCATCTTCACCATCGATGACCTTGACATTGGCATACATCTCATCACACAGGTTATTAACCGGCACAGAATCAAGATTAAAGAAGGTAAAATCCAGAGCAATCACCTTGCCACTTTGTACTCTTATTGTCCAATGACAGTTTATCGCCTGACCCTGGAATCCAGCAAAAATGTTCGGAAATTGAATTACACCATGCGGGGAATTGAGAGTTCCACCACAAAGTTTGGTTGGTTTCTCAGTTACCATTAACTGACTAGGTTCTTGGGTGCTGAATGGATGGGAGGATACTGGTAACAATCTGGGATCCAACAACTGACTGCCTGCTTTGGAAGACATGTAACTTAAGTAGAACTCTCCACCATGCCCATAATTACTTACAAATTCCACTGTCATTGTATTGGAGGACGAAAAGAAGATTCCGGGTAGGTCTTGGCCACAGTATACATGTTTTGCATGGACAGCTTCCCTCTTACCATCAAATATGTTCATATGGGCATACCTCAGGTCACACTGATTATTAATGGGAACAGAATCTAGCATGAATGTCACAAAACTTAGTTCGATGATTGAACCAAGCTGGACAGTGATGTTCCATGTGCATGTTACACTGGACACATATTCCTCAGGAATATTCGGTGATTGGATTGCTCCATTCGGTCCAATGAGATTTCCACCACATTCATATGGAGGTTCGGGCTGCAGGGATGTTGACGGCACATCTGCTGATGCACTGACTACTCTTGGAGGATGCACTGTAGCAATGATTGAACTCTCTGGCCTCACACGGCTGTAAGAAGCACTGAACCCTCTGCCATAGCCAAAATAGGTCAGGAATGTAATAATCAGTTTGTTGGTGGAGGACACAAAGACACCTGGGTTATTTTGGCCACAGAACAGTTGAGTAGAAGCCCTGCCTTCACCTTCACCATCAGCAATGCTGACATGGTCGTACCTTTCATCACACATGTTGCCAATCATGGGCACCGAATCTAGATCAAAGTAAGTGAAATTAAGGACAATGATCCACTGTTCAGACACTGTGATGTTCCACTGGCAACTGACCCTCTTTTCTAAAGGTTGCTCTTTAAATCTTGGTGAGTATATTTCTCCTGAAGGTCTACTCAGGAAACCACCACAAGGAAAGAACTGTCTGTGTGTTACTGACTCTTTTGGCAAGCCTTCACTGACTGATGGTGCTGTTGATTTCAAAGGAGCTGCCGATATAAACCTGGGAGAAAGCATTTTATCATCTGATTTCACAGCAGCATAAGTTGCAAAGAAACGGTTGATTTCCAAGTTGCTGAAGAACTCGATGATCAAGGTTCTTCCAATTGAAATTACTGTACGGGGCTTATTCTGACCACAAAAGATGGACACGGATGTATCCCCATCCACTACTTTGATGTGAGCATACCTTTCATCACACTGACCATCCACTGGGGTGGAGTCAAGATTAAAGGTCGTGAAGTTTAAGACAATGATCCAACCAGGATTCACAGTTACATTCCACCTACAGTGTACCTCAAGCCAGTATCCTTCATGATATTCAGGAGCCCCAATGATACCACTAGGTCCACCTAAATTTCCTCCACAAGAGTAGGAACGTTCAGTTGCTACTGGAGGCACCTGGGGTTGATGAGGCATGCTTGTTGATCTTGTTTCAAATATTCCTCTGCTGTCGACTGTCTGGACAGACTCATAATATGCACGAAACCCCCTGCTGTACCCGTAACCACTCTTGAAGTACACTAAAACTGTATTTGAGGAGGAGACTAAAATGGGTGGAGCTTCTTGACCACAATAAATGGAACTACCACTCTGGTCAACTATTTTAACATAAGCATAGCTCTCATCACACCAGTTGTCGACTGGAACAGAATCCAGATTGAAATCTGTGAAGTTAAGTACAATGACTTTACCGGTGGCTACTGTGATGTTCCAGACACAGCTAATACTGGTCTCCAAGTTATCGGGCAACCAAGGAGAAAAAATAACACCCTCTGGTTGATTTAAAACTCCTCCACATTGATCTGGCTGTCCTGATCCTGTAGGAGGAGGTATGAAGACTTTTGGAGGAGCAGATGCTGTATACAGTGCAAGGAAATTTCCCCCGTAGCCAAAATCACTTATGTACATGATGCTTATTGTATTACTGGAGGAAATAAAAACTGGTGGAAGCTCCTGACCGCAATAAGTTGAACTACTCCCACCAATCCCATCCACTATTTTCACATGAGCATATCTCTCACTGCACCAATCATCTACGGACACAGAATCCAGGTCAAAAACAGTAAAGTTTAAAACAATGACTTGTCCAACTTGCACTGTTATATTCCAATGGCAACTAATTTCAGTCTGAAAATCAAGAAAATTGGGTGATTGAATCCTTCCGCTGGGTTGGTAAAAGCTACCGCCACACATTTGTCCAGATGTTGAAGTATCAGGAATTACAACACGGTCTTCTACTTCTTGCATAAAGTACTCAGCGCGGAATCCAATTCCATATCCATATCCGTAGCCGCTGCTAAATGTGACAGTAAGTATATTTGAAGAGGAAACTACTGATGGAGGCCTTTTCTGATCGCAAAATATTCCTTCCATACCTGTACCATCAGTTTGCCCCTCAGAAACTTTGACGTGAGAATATCTTTCATCACACTGACCATCTTCAATAGGAGCCGAGTCCATGACGAAATTGGTAAAATTCAGCACAATGATTTGTCCAACTGGGGCTGTGATAATCCACTTGCAGTTGATACCCAACTCAAGTTCTTCAGGCAGTTGAGGTGACTGAATGACACCTCTTGATGCAGTTAAGGGTCCCCCACAATCATACAGGGATCTTGTTGTTGGTGCATGTGGTTTTGGGACCTTAGGGGAAGCAGGTGTTGAAACTCTGTCCTTCTCAGAGGCCCTGTATACAGCGCTGAAACCTCCACTGTAGCCAAACTCACTTATATATGTGATGCTTACTGTATTGCTGGAAGAAACAAAAACTGGTGGAAGCTTCTGTCCGCAGTAGGTTGAACTATTCTCTCCAATCTTATCAACAATTTTCACATGAGCATATCTCTCGCTGCACCAATCATCTACTGGCACAGAATCCAAGTCAAAAGCAGTAAAGTTTAAAACAATGACTTGTCCAACTTGCACTGTTATATTCCAGTGGCAACTAATACTAGCCTGAAAGTCATCAGGAAAGTAGGGTGATTGAATTCTTCCGCTGGGTTGGTAAAGGCTACCTCCACACATCTGTTCAGATGTTGAAATATCAGGAATG